TCCCAGAAGCACTACTCCTTTTAATTCAGAAGCAGGAGCTTTTGAAGAACTACATCTCATAGTTCTCTCTAGTCTGTTCACAAGCACAATGGGGCAGGAAAACAAAATCCTCTGCTCTCCACTCACACAGCTTTGATGCTGTTCCCACTTTAATAAGAGGCGGGGAGGAGAGACGGGCTAATGGGTAATAGAGATGGATGGGGTTGAGAACAAGAATTCTTCATCTTAAGACAGTCTTGTAAAGTTTGCCTCAGTTTTGAGGAACACCTGCAGTATGGGTGTGTTTAGGGTGTGTGTGTATGAAGTCACACCACTGGAGAATCACAGCGCCTGCTGTAGCTGTGGAGACCAGTAACTCATAACTGCTGCCTCCTGTGTTGCTTTTGCTGTGTTAGCAACACCGAAGTGACCGCCCCAAGGCACAAGCCTGGGCAGTGTGTATGGAGGTCCTGGGTTGCCCAGACCACAAGACCTCCCTCTTGGCCTTACTGATGTGGTCCAAAGGAAAGCAGAGCTATACGTTTGGCACCAGCTTGGCTGCAGGAGTTGCTGGAAGGAGGCATCAAGGCACCATCCAACCGTCTTAAGGATTCCGCTCTGGATTGATGTAGGGTTTACTGCTTAGCCTTTTCTTCTCCCAAAGAAGTCCCACAAGGGAGTGGGTTTATGTTTATGTATGTATGTGTACACACCCACCCACCCCATGGTTTGGTTGAGATTGAACCCTGTACTGTACAACCTACTCTTACCAAATGTCTTGCTGTGCCTGTTAATTTGTGTCATTTGATTTTTCCTATGATGCAATGTACATAATTTTCCTCATTCAATATAAAGTGTTAATTGGGCCCTCACTATTGCTAGCTATAAGCAAAGGCTGTAGTCAGCCCAGATAAGTATTGCTGAATGGTACAGCCTTTAGATTACTTCTGAGCAAGGAGATAATCTTTTTGCAATGGCATACTGGCAGTAGCCTGACTTTCAAGTGACTTTGTCCTGAGAGCAGTAGCACAGGCCTGCCTGATCCTAATTAGAAATCATCTGAACTAGTTATATTCTGTTGTGCCTGTGGGACTGGCTGTGCATACTAACTCTTGTGTGTACTAAAAAATGTGTAAAGCATATTTGGTTCCTATAGAGGGTGGACATGATTTTCAATAACTGTGTTTACTCGCAATTTAATTCAGTTGAGATTCATCTGATGAAAGAATGAAGAAAAAATTGCCCTTCCTTCAGAAACCACTCTTTTAATCATAAATTGTTACTGACATGACCGGGGCTGTTAATTTGGTGCCAAAAGCACCAATTTTTTTTTTGTTTTTCAGCAAGAAAGTCAATGTGCATGCCACAAAAATGAAAAACTCTGAATAATTAAAGCAACATGAAGAAAGGGGGACATGACTTGAGGCCATAAAAACTGGTAGAATTTATTTGTGGTTGCAAAAATTCTACACTGATCAATAAAGGCTGCAGATACTGCCTATGTATAATCAAATAAATCTTTGGTTTTCTAATAGGTGAAAGGCCTCTAAAAGCTGCTTCTCACTTTATTGTGCCATAAAAGGTATAGAGCTGTGAAATTTCTATTTCCTGGTACGTGTATCAGATCTGGAGAACAATGGCTCTGTGCAGGCATATTGCCAAAGTTCTTAACGCTCTTTAAGCTGGGAAGAATGAGGAAATGAATTGTATGATTTTTAAAAATGAGGCTGGATGTGCAAGAGTTGAGGGTGGGAGGAGATGGTCTCTATAAATAACGCTCTGCTCCATTATTATTAATTTGGGGGGAGGGTGTTCCTACATGTGTCTCAAAGCACTGGGTTTTTTTTGGCTATTAGGGGTTTTTGCACTGATTAAATGTATTAAACAAAAGCTTAGCTTCTTTCCCCTAAAAGTGATCTGGAATACCTTCAAATCCACAAAGTAAACAACATGTGGAGGGTAATATAAAGTACACACACATTTCAGCGCACGTGTACTCACGTCTCAAAAGTTTTCAGATGTATGTAGAGACAGTTTAAGGCTATATGTATGTAATCTGTAGTTTGCTGCAAGAAACATTAGTATTCTATGTCATTCTGCCTACTGCAAGTAGTGCTGCCCTTCCCAGTGGGCAGATGCTGGTGGTCGAAGGGGTGTGATGCCAAGGGGTTAAGAGGACAAGAGCTGTGTGTGCCACACGGCTCCTAATCTAGCCTACCGCCATGAGTTGCGGAGGGCGATATCCCAGTGCCAGTGTTGGAGAAAGATCCTAACTGCCATCCTGATGGCTTCTAGACATCTGATTTGTCCTTCGCCTTAGGCTGCAAACTCTAGAGTCAGCCCTGGCTGCATGGAACGTGGACCCACCACACCTGCAGTAGGAGAGCCATCGCTTAGGAAGACTCGAAATGAAGGTTGGCTTGTGGGAAAGCCCTACTTTGATACATGTCCATACTATATAGTTAAAAGAGTAACATTCAAATGTGGGCAGTGGGACCAAGAGCCATTTTGAGCTGCTGCTGCTGCACGTTATACGAAGCAAATGTGCCACAAAGACGTTGCAAGGAATAGGCGCAACCCGATTGCACCAATAAACTCATACTGTTGTGCTGCAACTTTGGGGAACAGAATTTGAGACAGTATATAGCGGGGAAGGTGTAATGGCCTATGCGTTTCAGAAGGGTGGGGAGGAGCTGCTTTAGAGTCCCAGCAGCACTCAAGGCAGTCGAGAAACTATTAGGCCAGCTGCTTGAGGGCCAAATGACGCAGTCTGTTCAAAGCGTTACTTAAACACTTGGTTAGAACCCGCTGCCACTTTTAACGAAGAAGCAGGCAAGTGTGAATGTGTGGCATTCAGCTCAGGAGCCTTAAATCCTGTGCCATTTTTGTGCCTGATATCACAGTGCAAATTGTGGGGAATTTATTCACTGGGGGAAAAGACAAGGGAGGAGGAAAAAAGGGAATTCCCTAGGCTGCCCCCCCCCCCCCCCCGTTACAGACATTCCTTTCAGAAACCAAAATCAAGGCTGCAGGTTTGTGGCTGGATAAAGTGTGTAGTTGCCAATTCAGGGGACACCTTAACCATTCTCACCTTCTGAAATCTGAACGTGACATCTAAGCACACGACAATACAATGTATCTGCTGCCCTACCCTAATTTCCTGGTGGTCCAGAGACACCAAAAAAGGATACTTACCATTGGCGTTATGATCTCCTTAGGTGGCTTCTCCGTGATATTTGCTCGAGGAACAATCTGATTCCTCATTGTTGCATTCAGGAATCTGAACGTCTTATGGAAACGCAGCATTTTCCTTTCGCTTTTGAGCTCCCCAAAGCTGTTGCTGAAATGGCGCTTTCTGCCCTTTGGTAGGGAGTGTCTACGGGCTCGGGCTCTCGAGCTGGGAAGTTGCAGCTGTCGGTGTCACAACAAGTGCACCCTCGCTCGTCCAAAGGCAGCTGAAGGTTTCCAAGAGGTCGGAGAGGAAAACAAGTGGCTCCGTTCCTGCCAGACCAATTTAGCACCGCTTTCTTGGCTCCGATTGGCTGCTGAGTTGCTCAGCTGCTTCCCTGGGATAGCAAGCAACTGCACAAAGGTGCCTCGATAGCAGGAAATATCAGGGCTTCTAACGGAATCTCTGTAAACAGTTTCTACTAAACTGTGTGAAATGTTTTTGAAGAACCCAGTGCAAAAATCAAAATAGATTTATCTTTAAAAGTGTGACTTGCTTGACCGAATTCTAGAAGGAAGTTTAAAGAAAATGTACCACCAATTATGGGAGCAATGTGACAAACAGGCTTGGAGCAGAGCCAATTTTTGGCTGGAAAAGCTTTTTGCACTGTGGTCCTGATTCAAACTTTTCCTTTGTTAAAAGACGTGTCAGGTCCTAACAGTGTGCTTAAAGTGATCCGGCCTTTGGCCTCAGACAGCTCAGCCTGCACATCCCCACAAGACCAGCTCGCTTTCACCCCCAGAAGCAGGTCATTGTTTGGGTGATGCACGTGTTACAATAACGTGATCCTGGTATGCTGCCAGCCCCCCCCCCCATTGCACAAAGTGAGGGTCTTACTCTAGTAAATGCCCCCAAAATCCCTTGCCCTCCATGTTTAGAATTTGGAAAATGCTTGAGGTGTAATCTAAGGGTAAAGATGCGCCCTTTTGCTTTGCTGCAGTGCTTCTCCCTGTTTCATATAAGAATGCTTTCCCAGTTGTTCTCTGTCTCTTTGAACCAGCGTGTCCAGGAGCAGGAGTTGTATAAACATAAAGAAGTGTGCGAAGCCAAAGTCCAAAGAGGCCTAAATAGGGGATACTGTTTAACTCTCTACATCTCTCTCCCTCTTTCCCGTTCTCCGTGTACAGGTGAAAACTGCCAAGAAGAGCATAAAATATATTGCAAGGCTCTCACCCACTGTTTTGGTCTAAAACTCCTATCAGCCCTGCTAGAACGATAAAGTGGATTACTCAGGGAGTGGCAATTGCAAATGAATGGATTCTGCAATATCTCCTGTCAGCATAGCTGTTTGTTTATAGGAACAGCCAGTGCTTTTTTTCTTAAAAAATGTTTAGGGGTACTCTCATTTTCCTACTCATATTGAAATACTGCCCCTCAATGATTCCAAACTTAGATTCACAAAATGTTTAGGGGTATGCATGCCCCCAGAAAAAGAAGCACAAGGAACAGTTATCTGAATGCAATAACTCCTTTATGTCATTTTCTAGCTTTGATGTCCATCTGATGCGTGTGGCCCATAAAAGAATGAAATATGTTGTGTATGTATTTTCCCAATAGCAAAATATTCTAACTGGAATCCTGAGAAATACTGCAATAAACATTAAGCCTCAAGAGGAGACAGGAGGTTGGTAGGTATTTAGCAACACAAATGTGCTTTTAAAAATGTATAAATGAATATTCTAGAAAGGCCCTCATGATTATAATCTCCAGTCCAATGTCAGACTGATTGTAGAGCTACAGGGCGGAAAGAAACCTGGCTGCAAATTGTAAGTAAAAGGCACAAGGCAGTACGAACTGATCAATTAGGAACTCTGCATTGTTCTAGTTTTTTATTTGCAAATGTGCTGTTTGCTACAACTTTTGGTTCCTTCGTATCTCCCCAACCCCACTCCATTTATCAATGTGCACCGACAAAACTCTGTATAAAACCATTATTGATATGACTGTACATATGAAAATGCATCATTTTGTGATGTGTTGCTTTACCAATGTGCATTGATAAAGCACCCAAGCGACAATAACGAAACAAAACATGGGAACTCTGTTCATCTTCATGCCATAGACTAGGAATTTATAAAAATAATGAGAACATTTTACATCATTTTTAAAAAGCATTTGAACCGGCATGTAAACTTCTTGTGTGGTGTTCAACACCCACCAGCGCTGCAGTTCAGCATAAGGCTGTTGCTTTATGTGGGTGTTTCAAAGCAAGCAGCCAGCCACAATTTGTCCATTCGAAATGTTCACTGTGGGATCCTTTCTACCATTCATACAAGGGGAATGAAAGGCAGCCTTATGCAAGTGACAACCAGGTGCTTCATCAGACTGGCCTCTTCCTGTTCAGGCCACTGCAGTGCCGTGTGCTCCAAGGAGGGCCTCTGTGTGTGTTGTATTTTAAAAGCAGATGATTCCGCATTCAGAGATTGCCCTGCCAGGCATGGAATGCAGAAGCAAGTTCCTGAACAGGTGGACACTTCACCTATTGAGGTCTAAATTTCATGTCTGCATATTTGTAAGAATAATGATGCCCCCGCCCAGCAGACCAGTTGATGCCGTTAGCATAAGAAGAATGTTCGCCTTTGAGGTACAGGCCATTCAGGTTGGAAGAGTGGCAGACACTGTACCACCAGCCCCCCTTGTAAGCCACAGCACAGCTGCCTTTTTCGTTGGTATCGTTGTCCTTGTCTCGGGTGGAGAAGGCCATGCCCCCGTGTCCTGAGAAAGAATCTCCTGAAAGAGAAGAGAAGGGGAAACATCAAATTCACCTCTTTCACATTAACTGTGTGTGCTAAGGCAGTGGAAAAAGGCAGATGCACTGCTAGCACAGACCTGCTAGGTCACATATGTAACTGCCAGAGGAGATGCTCTGCAGGCGGAAGGTCCTCCTAGATTCAATTCCTGGACCTTCAAAAATGCAATATTTGTGTTTTTAGGTCACCTTGAAGCAGATGCCTCAAAGGGAATTCTCTGTATAACTCACCCATGTTGCCATCTAAATAGGAGCCCACTTCCAGTGTGTAGTTGTCCCTCTCACTCAAGACTTTGAAGCTGGTATATGTAGCATAAGTTCTAGTGTCATTGAAGTCCTTCACGTCAATTCGCAATTGTTGTAATCCTAACCCCCAAGAGAATGGAAGAGATCTGAGAGTAAGCATTGGTTTGTTTTTTTGTGTTTTTTAAATTGTGTTTTATGAACAAGAATAATGTTATACAAATAAGTATACCAAGTTTTCTCATGTCATTTGTATATCACAAGAACAGCATAATAAATGTATCCTGTATCCATCACCCAAGCATGAAGAAGAAGAAGAAGAAGAAGAAGAAGAAGAAGAAGAAGAAGAAGAAGAAGAAGAAGAAGAAAAGGGGGGAAGAGGAGTGGCGAATGGGATGGGGTCGGGTGGTTATGCTTCTATTATTCTACTTAGCGTGTGAGAGGGGTTGTGTCATTGTTGACATGAGAAAGCCTTTAACACGTTTACAGCTACAATGAAGACCAGCAGTTTTTGCTCCAGGCTGTGGCAGCTGGCGGGGCGGAAGGCAGAGCCATAGTTCTGGTTTTGTAAGGACACTTAAGCAATGCAGTACAATTACTTAGCTACTCAACAGATGTGGCTGTCCCAAAAATGGAAATTTCACAAGCATGGGGAGCCAGCTTCAGGCATAGAAGTGATCATGCACTACTGCAATGAAACAATTCCCAACACCCTTTCACAGAAGACAAACTGTTGACGGGGTTCAGAAAAAAGTAACAAGTAGGGCTTTGTGAATCAAGACAAGAAACTTCAACCTGCCCTGTAGGAAACTGGCAACCAGTGCATTTCTCTTTCGAAAGGAGTAACATGCTGCCAGTAACCCGCTCTTGTGAACAGTCTGGCCACTGCATTCTACACTAGATACAAGGGGAGCCCCACATAAAACACGCTGCAGTAGCCAGGCTATCCCAGTCTAGGAATGGTCACAGCTGGTAGAAGGCCACACAAATCACTTCACCATCTAGATCAAAGATGGATGGAGGAGTACCCCTCAAGCTGAAAATCTGCTCCTTCAGAACAGGCAGTTGACCTACCGCCTAGACACAGGAACCACTCACCTGCAAGACATCAGCCTTTGCAGGATTCAAGCTCAATTTACTGACCCTCATCCAGTCAAGCATTGCATCCAGTCACATGTCCAGGGATTGCACAGTCTGTCCTGACTCGGATGTAATGAAGCTGGGTATCATCAGTGTATGACACCTTGCTCCAAAACTCCCAGCGATTAACTCAATATAGATGTTGAATAGCATTGGGAATAAAATAGTGCCCTGTGGGATTCCACAGCGTACACACCAGGAGCACTCTTCCAATGATATGCTCTAGACAGGACCCTGCAGCTATTTATCCCAACGTAAAAACTTCACAGGTCCGACTCTGGTGGAGCTTTCAATAACTGATTCCACACCTTTCTCCATTATTCATTAAAATCCCCAAGCTTTCCAGTGATGCTCCAGCATCAGACAGAAGAGGAAACGTTGGTTTACCAGAGCTTGTAAGAAGATGGATTTTATCATTGCCCAACCAGAACTCTGACGCGTGGCTCCCAAACCCTTTCTTGTAGGACTCCCAGTTACGGTAGAAATCCTCCGACCCATCCTGTCGCCTCTGGAAGACCTGGGGGCAAAGGGAGGTGATATGTCAGTGTCCCAGCTGAAAGACAAGCCCGTTTCCTATTCCCTACAAGTGCTAGGTGCAGAGGCTAAGATGGAGGGGGCCCACTATGTGTCATGTGCACATGAAGTCACGCATGTGACACGCGATGTGCGCAATGTCACATATCACCGGGAGGAGCCCAGCATGGGGCAGCTTCAATGGCTAGCAGCTCCTCCTCACGTGTGCTCAGGAGGAGGCCGACACTTAAGCCGCGCCATGCTAGGCTCTGCGCTCTGCCTCCTTCAACATGGAGGGGCCCATCCCCATCCTAGCAAATATTAAGGGGGCTGAAGACACCTCAGCCCCATAGAGTTGGCGCACCTGGCTGGGTGGGCTCTTTTAGGCAGACTGATTGGTTTCGGAACAGGCCTCACAATATAAAGAGGTATCCCTACTGACCCTTCCTCAGTCTAACATATCTCAACAGGGTGATAAATTAGGGAATGAGGACAATAACCTCATAAAAAAATGAAAATAAATTCTCGCAAGGGCATCAGCAGGGTTTCCACACCATACCTCCTCTACAAAGCACTATATCATGGTAAGGGATAGACTTGCACACGTTCCCTCCTCTGCTGATTCAGATTAATAGTTTTGCATTCAGCTTGCACCACATGTCCTTTCAGAAAGCACAGGACAAGCGGAAAACCTTTCAGACCCATGTTTTTTAAGCAAAGGATTGTGGAAGTGTGGATAAGCCATAAATAGCAAACTCTCCTCCGTTCCCCTACAGAATGCTCTTGGACAACACCTCCTCTGAGCTCTGCAGAAGCCAGCAAAAAAAAGGAAAGGCAGCTCCTCCTGCTGCTTCCTCTCTCTAGTCTACTGTTTATGAGCATGCATGAGCAGAAAGCATGTGGGGCTGCCTTTGCTTTGCTTAGCACCCTGGGCCAAGTCTCTTTTGCTCAGTGAAGGAGATGACTCTGGAGGAAGGAGTTGCCCAACTGCCCATTTCTGGCAGGGGATTCCACTTCTTGAAAAGTGTGCATCATATTGCCTGACACCCTTTTAATAAGCCATAAACAGATGGCTCTTCCTTCTCCATGGGGTAAAGCTCACCAGCCAGCCTCCTCCGTCCGTCTCCATGTCACAGAAGACCACCATTGCTTTCCCTGTGGCAGGATAGATGGTGTACCAGCCACTCAGGGTCTCTCCACGTTCCAGAAGTTCTTTGCAGTCTTTGGCTCCAGCCTCTAGGAGAAATATCAGGGAGGAAAATGCAAAACAGTTCACCTATTTTCCGTTCTGGAAGTATGTGTGATGAGAGCAACATGGCCCTCTACTGTCTTTATCATGTTTGGTTTTGCACGGAAATCAAGAAGATTCTGGGAATACAGAGAAGTTTAATTTGAACTTCTACCATGGGGTTATTATTTTTTATTAACCAGAGAATTATAATTTCTCATGGGGTAAGTTCATCCTTCCCTATATTTTTCTCATGATCTGTGTTCACAGCCATCTTGCATTAGATTGGAAAGGACCGTGAGTTGAACCAAACAAACACAGCTGTACTAGCAAGAGGATGATTAAGATAATGATGATAAGACATACCTTGCGGCTTACAACCAGCAGGAGTGTCCAAACTGCAGTCTTCTCCTGCAGGAAGAGAAAAACAACGTCTGGTGAGGTGAACAAGCTAATAAGAAAGGTGAGAGTGAGAGCAGTTCCAGATTCCATGCTTTTATTTAAGCTTATTTTCCTTTTCCTCCAGTGGAGTAGCAGAGGCAAAGGGGGTCACCTTGTTAGCATTGGGGTCTGTTTCTGCTCAAGCACAATGCACAGTGCAGTGTTCACCTGGATCAGCTTTCACCTGTGAATAATCCAAGCTCTTGCATTGCCACACCCCTCCCCTCACAGTGGAGTTATAGATGCAATATTACCTTTGTCTCCTTTGTCTCCCTTGGGTCCAGCTTTCCCAGGCATCCCAGCAACACCTTTCTCACCTGAGAGGGAAAAGGTGAGAGATGAAGCCTTTGGAAACAATCAAAACATCTCTAGAAACAGTCTTTCCTGCCCCTAACAGCCCCTCTCCTAGACATGGTGTTTGCAATTGCAGAGCATAGCAGTGAGCCTCTTCTCCACAGTGATGAGGCTGAATTAGAGCAAATGATCTCCAGATCTGTCTGGCTCCAACTCTGAAGAAAAAAATGGGATCTTCTTACCTGGAGGACCCTGAGGGCCTGGGTCACCCTTAGGCCCAAGTGATCCGCTTGTTCCGGGCACACCTGGTAGTCCTGGTATCCCTGGCTGGCCCTGGAAAAAGATCCCACCTGGTCCACAATGTGATAGGCCCTTCAGCTCTGAAACAGGAAAGATGAGACAGTGTATAAACCTGTGTGAGACAAGACATGTTCCCTGGCATGGGCATATTAAACCAAGAAAGGACTGGAGTGCCAAGCGTCTTATGCGGTGCAGCAGATAGGACTGAAATGAGGGGAAGGCAAGTTCATATCCTCAGGCACCATCTTCTCATCTTTACCAACCATACAGAGCAGCTGTTGTGAGGATTTTTGAGAAAGGAAAATTACTTTCCTGAGCTGTTGGAAGCAGTTAGGGTTGTCAAAGCAACCATGGAAACCTTTTCTCCTTTATATATATATCTCCATATATCTTAATTTAAATGTGGGCCAATTTAAGAATCCCTGTTGAGTATTTCAGAAAGGACATTGATAAACCTGGGTCTTCCACTTAAAGTATGATTGACTGGAAGCTTGCAATCCCTGGCTTTCTAATGGATATGTGGATGTCTTTGCAGATTCAAGCACAGCCCCACTTGTTTACCTTTTCAAAGGTATACTTAAAATATCTCGGGTAAATATCTTAAAGCTATCAAGTATGAAATCAACCATTTAACTACAGTTTAAAAGGAAAGGCTATCTTATCTTGAAGAGTTTTCTGAAAGACCTGAAGCTAGGTTTTTATGGAATTCAAGACCAATTAGGCACCTGCCCCTTCCACTCTGGCCTCATTCATGAAATTAGTTGTGGCCTGATTGGGAATATCTTGACAAATCTGAACATTTAAAGGGAACAGTGACAGGAAGTTGAAGAAAATGCTAGTTACAGCCAGAAGACAGAGACACATAGAGTGACTAGATGCTGCTTCTTTTTGAGGAACGCCCTTTGTTTCAGAGATCACAACTCAATTTGCCAAATCACTTCTCTCTCCAGCCTTCAAAGTCCTCCTCAAGAGCCTCACTCTCCCATCCCCTCCACTGCTTCCAGATTAAACATTATCACATCCCTGTGACTAAAATGTAAGCTCCTGAGTTATACTTTCACATACCCAAACAATTAACTGAGGAAACAGTGCTGGCCTTGACATGTGCCACACAGTGGTCTGATGAGATGCAAAAAATTGGCTCCTTTGCCCATAATAATTGCACAGAAGAACAAACTTAGGCCCAGCTTTACTCATTATAACCCTTCTGCCCTACTATTTGAATTTCTATAGGTGTACAATTAACATTTCCTGTACAGCTTACAATAACAAAATAAAAAATGCAATATAAAATAGTAATTAAACAAGCAAAAAAATGTCCTTACATCATGGCAACATAAAAACAATCTGCAGCCCAGATTAAAATATTTAATAGACTGGATGAATAAAAGGCACCGGCTGTCCCACTGCCTTTTATACTTGTCCAGAAACAAAGATCACCTCCCACCTCATCCCACTTTGCACTCACGTTCACAGCAGCTGGTTTCTGCCTCCTGTCCAAAGCTTCCTCTCTCCTCCACAGACACAACCACCAAGAGTGTCAGAGCCAGGCGGAAACCAGTCAAGGCTGTCATCTTTCCTTGCAGAACTTTCTTGGCCGCTCCTCTGGGTGAAACAGAGGCAAGTGGCGGTGGAGGGGCTTATATATATGGCAATCCCAAACAGTCATGTAAACAGGAATGAGGAAATTCTTGCCTTGGGAAAGGGCTTTGCCGAACCCCACTATTGTGCAATACTTGCTTTCACAAGAGCATAGTTCGTGATATTTAAGATTGTACATTTCTAGAGCAATGGCTGGAAATCCCTCGATTGCACAATGCCCACCCCCTACTCTGCCCTGATCAGGAAATGTTTATTTGTGCTGAATAATGTGTTCTTTGGAGCCATAATCCCATCGCTATCTTGTTTGGCGTGAGGCTTGATCTTGGTTTCCTTACTATAGTGCATTCATAGAAGTGTCTCCTCCTTCTGTCCATCTCTTTATTTGCCGTATTTTTTGCTCTATAAGACGCACTTTTTCCCTCCTAAAAAAGGGGAAATGTGTGTGCATCTTATGGAACGAATGCAGACTGCGCAGCTATCCCAGAAGCCAGAACAGCAAGAGGGATCACTGCGCAGCGCTCCCTCTCGCTGTTCTAGCTTCTGACTTAGCCACGCGAAGCCTCTTCAGGGCAGGGGGAGCCTTCATCCTGCTGCCCTGAGGCTTCGCACAGCTATCCCAGAAGCCAGAACAGCGAGAAAGATCGCTGTGCAGCGCTCCCTCTTGCTGTTCTAGCTTCTGGGATAGCCCCCCAGTCCCTTCCCCCACCTCCCGGAAAAGCCCCCAAGAGCCCCGCTCTCTTTAAAGAGCCGCGCGGAGCGTGTGTGCTGCTCTTGGGGGCTTTTCCCTGAGGAGGGAGAAGGGCAGCTCATCAGTGAAGGGCTGCTCTTCTCCCTCCTCGGGAAAAAGCCTGCAAGCTCGTGAAAGGGAGCACTGAGCAGAACCTGGGATGCATATAGGCTCTGCTCAGCGCTCCCTTTAAAGAATATTTTTTATCTTGCATTTCCCCTCTAAAAACTAGGTGTGTCTTATGGTCAGGTGTGTCTTATGGAGCAAAAAATACGGTAATTCCTTTTCTGAATGGCTTTGTAGTGTTGAACGGCCATTCTGGCTGATACTCTGTGCCTCTTCCAAACCTATGATACCGTGGTGGCTGGGTTGGAATGTATAAACACAAGCTTACCAAACCAGTTTCTTTGTCTAGGCAATGGCTTTGGCTGGCTAGTTAAGCACCACATAACCAAATAAGTTGCTTTGGGCAAAAGGACAAATGGGAGGACCTCCCCCTTCTCACCTAGATGCCAGGTAGAAGAACAATAGCCAGAGTTGTATGTGAGGAAGGTGGAAGCAGACTGGAAGATGGACACACAGGCATGCTTGCTCTGTGCTGGACTCAAAGCTGTGATTAATGAAGCAGGATCTTTCCTCTATTCTTCCCTTAGGAGGGCAGATCCCCTCAGGTGACCAGTACCTGCATTTTCATCTGCAGTGGGTTTTTAGGTCCAAAAATGCCTCTTATATGCAATCTAGGTGGGATGAATCCTAGTCCATGTGACTGGAGCAAGTACTGCTTTATGGTAAAGCCAAAAGCTTGACTGGAGAGGAGACTAATTCTTGCCAGAAATAAAAGCTGGTGAACAGGATTTCTGTCTGTATATTTTTACAGCATGAAGTGAAATGGGGAAGCTGGTCCCCCTTCACAAGAATCTAATGTAAGCAAGATGTAGCTAATGTATGACGCATCCCGATTCCAGTGTGTTTGGTGTGTGGATAAGATGGAGCATGTATCCTGGTGCACTAAGGCAACCAAGACGTGATAAAATAGAGCAAAGGGTGAAGCTTCAGCCTTTAGGGGGAAGAAAAACCCAGGAGAAACCAAGGCATACAAATGAAACGTGAAACACAATAAATAAAAAAAAACAGTTCTGTTGAGAAGAGCAGAATTCATGGAACACTCACATTCACATCAACCAACCAGCAACAGAATAAACAGAGCAGAAATTTATTATTTGTTCAGCAATCAGTCCTACACTCAGTCCTACACCAGTAAGTAAAACTGGCTGCGGAAACTGGGCAGAGCAGTACTGCGGATGTGTGAAATCCTATAATGAGCAAGAGGTTCTTTTCCTTCCCAGTGATTGAAGTAGGAGATGACGTGGTTCAGCGGAATCCCAGTTCCCAACAGAGCTATCCAGGTACTCCATCCACGACCATTCCTGTCCTCTGTCATCATAGCGGCTCCTATGTATCTATAACCAGGTCAGGCTTAATCCTTTTCACGCTACTAAGCTCTCTCACCGTGTCTTCAGATAACTCGTCAATATCGAGTCTGTGAATGGAAAAGAAAGAAACATTCTGTTGCCTCCTATACATGGCAACAAAGACCATGCACAACTTATACACACTACAAAACTTAAGTGATTTTTTAAAAAAAGGCAGTTTTGAGGTCCCTGCTTCCCACTTTAATATGCAAGTTTGCATGGTGGTGCTGAACATTTCCTGGGGGAGGAACTCCTCTCGTCCCCCGGAATTAGTTTCTAGGGAAGGTTCTGCAGGACAGAAACTGTGATATTTAAACCCGCTGAGGTTGCTAATAATGGTTTCTTAAGACATACTATTCTATTCTAACACACCACTTTCACAGGTATTTGCTAAAATGGCAAATCTTTTTAGCCTCCTGATATACTGTGTACACTCCCCACCCCCCAACCCAATTACATGGAGAGAAAGTCAAAAGTACAGAGATGACTAATGGGCCTTATCAGGCTCCTTACACTCATTTAAGCTTCTACTGGGCTTTATTCTTCATTCATTTCCTTCCTTATTTAAACAGCTAAACTGCCTATGCATGCAAACACACCTATGCTCACTGGAATTCTATAGGACGACTCCTTGGTGCTTCTCAGAACAAGTCCCAATGCCCGGTTCTACTCACAGTTTCACTGTCACACTGGCTCCCTTGGTTCTTCTCCTGCCTTGTTTTCTTAACTTTCCCCTTTAAAAGGCAGGGACATCTCTGCCCCTGGGAGCCTACCTTAGGCAACCACACAGCTCCTCAAATGAACGTTGCACAGCAAGGAAGCTGCCTGCAACTTACTCAATTGCCTCCAGTCCACTGCTTGGGTCTTTCAGTCCTTCACACAGCATCTTCACTCCGGAATCTCCCAGTTTGTTACCCCCCAGCTTCAGCTTCTTCAGACTCTGGTTGGTGCTGAGAGCAGAGCAGAGATCCCTGCAGGAAGCCGAGGTGAATTCGCAATTCCATAACCTGAAAAAAAACCCAAACAGCTAGGATGGGAGGGGCTGCTGACTTGTTCCTTACTTGTAAATACAACTCCACAAAGCATGAGGGTGACAACAGTTTGGGAGAACTCGTGATATATTACAGGCAACCCCCAATTTGTGCCGGGGTTGCATCCCACATCTTCATGCGCGTCACCGTTGATGGTGGAGTGCGCATGAGCCCCCCCCATTACACCCTCTTCCAGGTCTGAAAGTGGTGTGGGTATCCGTGGTCACACACCAAGAGCTGCCTATACTCACAGTGATCCAAATTTCTTAACTAGTCAAATTCATTGTACTTTCCTTATTGTGGTTCAGTGCTGTTACATTTGTTCATAGAACAGAATTTGCTATGAAAAGCTACCTATTGAGAATTTCAGCTTTCAGGCTTTGTTGGGGTTTCGGGGGGTTGAAAAGTGAAAAGTTACTAGACCTCACTCTTTGTTGGAAGGAAAAGCTTCATCATATTTCCATGTTCTTCTCACTGTTACCTTCTGTTAAGCATCCGCTGCTCATTTCCTGACAATATTTTTGTTTTTGAAAAACAGAATTATCCAAAAACAGATTTAAAAAACTGTGTAGATAGGAAGATTTCTTACTTACGACAAAATCTGAAGCTTGCAGCCTGGGTGTTTCAGTGCCTCACACAGCAGCCTCATTCCTGAATCTCCCAATGGATTGTTCCATAAATCAATGTCTTCCAGCATCTGGTTTGTGCTGAGGGCAGAACAGATCTCTCCCCAACCTGCTGCTGTGATTTCAGTGCTACACAAGCTGCAGGACACAAGTGCACCTCGTGTGACCATGGGTTTCGGGAGGGGTAGAAGAGGGAGCCCCTGTGGTTTATGGTGAGACCGCCAAGACTGAATTGGGTGAGTGGAGGGAGTTTCCTTAGGAAAGAGACCAAAAGGGCAGGAGATATTGGGCAGCTTTTAAAGAAGTCCTGCTAGTGCAATGAGCCTTTCTCCTCTCTCCTCGCCTGACACTCCCTCTGCAACACCCCCACCCCAAATTGGCTCAAGGAGAAGTTAAGAGAGCCCCCAGAGCAGGATTTGGAGGAAGAAGAAGGGGATCAGTCCATCTGGGAATCTGAAATGTGATTTCCACAGCGCTGTGTTGTATGCCTCCATGTATCGTTGTGGTGGGATGGACCGTAGATTGGAGGTGGGAGGGGAGGAATGGGGTGGACAAGGGAAGAGGTAAAGTCCGCTTAGAGGGATGGGAAAACACAGGAGAAATTAGCCTGGAGTGGGGAAGGGCCTCCTTTGGCTAGGGCATGTGTACTTTTGCAATTAGGAAAGTGAACATATAAAGACTATAAAAATGAAAACAAGAGAGAGAGAGGTATGAATGGATGGATGGATGGATGGATAAGGAGGGATTTTCCCCATGAAAACTACCGTGTTTTTCGCTCTATAAGACGCACCAGACCATAAGATGCACCTAGTTTTTGGAGAAGGAAAACAAGAAAAAAAATATTCTGAATCCCAGAAGCTAAAACAGCAAGAGGGAGCGCTGCGCAGTGATCCCTTCTCGCTGTTCTGGCTTCTGGGATAGCCGCACGAAGCCTCTTCAGGGCAGTGGGATGAAGGCTCCCCCTGCTCTGAAGGGGCTTCGCACGGCTAAGCCAGAAGCTAGAACAGCGAGAGGGAGCGCTGCACAGCAATCCCTCTCACTGTTCTGGCTTCTGGGATAGCTGCAGAGCCTGCATTTGCTCCATAAGACACACACACATTTCCCCTTACTTTTTATGAGGAAAAAAGTGCATCTTATAGAGCGAAAAATACGGTAGATTGCTCCCTCATATGCAACAGAACCTAATTCCGGACCCACAAGCACTGTGCTCATGATCTGAACCCGAAGGAACAGAGTTCTCCCTTACCACAATTTCTGCAACATGCACTTTGGATGTTTCAGTCCCTCACACAGCAGCTGCACCCCGGAATCCCCAAGCTGGTTACCTCCCAGGAAGAGTTCGGTCAGCGTCTGGTTGCTGCTGAGGGCAGAGGCAAGATCTGCACAGCAGGCAGCAGTGAGATCACAATTGTACAAGCTGCAGGAGAAAAAAAGCATTGGCTGTGTTATGTTCACACAAAAGCTAGAAGAGTCCCTCTGCATTCCTCCATCCCGTTTGCAAGTTTGTACCGCATCTAATCACTCTGTAGAACTGGGTTCCGGCAGGGCATGGAAGAACAGGGTTTTAAGGGGATGGCTTGAAGTGTAAAGACCCTTCTCCTGTTTCTTCAGATCACCTCGCAACTTTCTTCAAATACAAACAATTCCTGTCACATGCAGCAATATCCTGCAGCCCCTATGTAACAAAGTGGATGACAAGGGCTTTCTTGGTCATGCCTCAGCTGACAGTAGCTGCTACTGAACCCATTCAATGAGCAAAAATGGGCTTCTATGTTCCTCAAAGAGTTTCCTGGAGGTGCAGAAACTTCTCACTCTGAAACTCAGGCAGAGAAGATGTGTAGTGATACTCTCAGTCAGGGGTAGGCAACCTAAGGCCCAGGGGCCGGATGTGGCCCAATCGCCTTCTCAATCCAGCCCACAGATTGTCCGAGAATCAGCATGTTTTTACATGAGTAGAATGTGTCCTTTTATTTAAAATGCATCTCTGGGTTATTTGTGGGGGATAGGAATTTGTTCTTTTTTCCCCTTCCAAAATATAGTCTGGCCCACCACACGGTCTGAGGGACAGTGGACTGGCCCACGGCTGAAAAAGGTTGCTGACCCCTGCTCTCAGCACTTGATGGCAAGAAATGTAAGCCAATAGTTTTGGCTGGGGTGGGGGTGAGTGGCAATCTATTAATACCCTATGAATAGTTAAGGTGAAGGAATCAAAATTTAGGAAGGGATCTTGGAATACTGTGATTCCAAACAGAAACAAGTGATGCCTCAACAGGCTTGACTGGCTCCTGCTTGGGGTGCAGCATTTCTAGGGTCCCTTCACTCTCATTGGGGGGGGGCAACCTGGGCTCCAAAGATGCTATCCAACCCCAGAGGGATCCAGCCGATTACTTGCTTGAGGAGCTGCAGCTTGCAGTGTGGATGCTTGAGACCTCTGCACAGAAGTTTCACCCCTGGATCTCGAAGCTCGTTACATTCCACCACCAGCTCTGTCAGAGTCTGTCTGACTGCAAGAGCAGAAGAGAGATCTTCACAAGAAGCAGCTGTAATATTACATCGGGCCAGCCTGTGTGAGAAAGAAAATATGAAAGAAAAACCTCTCCCGTTTATGTTTTCCTTCACAAACAGCTTCTGCTTGCTAGAAAACCCTGAAGCCTTTATTCCTAGCCACTGTCAGGATGAAGGAGTCTTGAAGGACTCAAAGTAACATTGCAGCTGTGCAGGCACTCTGAGGAAGGATTTTGGTTTGCGTATGCGGTTTTGGTTCACTCACAAGCACACAGCCTGCTCCTATTCACACCCCTCTGTGTGGTCTCAATAGTCAATTAAAACTGGCCAGACTTTGTTGTCTATTTCATGTTTCCAGGCCTGCCCTTCCAAATGCATGAGAAAGTTTATCTTTCATGTTCCTAAGAGCCAACACTCACCTCTGAGTCTTTTTCAACTATCTGACTCTACCTTCATTCCTGTGCTGCTGAATAGTGCAGAGGTACACGGGACCCACCTGCTGCAAGGGGATGGCAGCTTACACCAAGGGTGATGAACCGTTGGCTCTCTAGATGCTGCTGAACTACAACTCCCATCAGGCCCAGCAAACAGGCAAGGATGGTGGGACTTGTAGTTCAGCAAGGATAGTTCCCTCCCTTCGACATAGAGCTAGGGCCCTTCCCTGCCCCAAGGCAAGTGCAGCAGCAATCAGTTCCGCTCAGAAAACCTAGATTCCCTTCAGGTTTTCATGCAGATCACCTTGTGCCATGTGTGCTGGGTTTGTGTGTACAAATCCCACTCTGTATGTGATGCAAAGGCTCTCAGAGCAACTCTGCCTTCTTCATATGGTCACAGTCCTGCTGCCAGACGTTTTAGGAGGGGTAGGAAATCAAGAGCAACAAGCAGGTGAAAACTGGTTGGCTCTGCTGGTCCATCCTCATTTGTGGGTGGAGAAAGAAGACAAGCATGCCAGTAAGCACAAGAGATCCATGATGAGAAACCTGCAGGGAGACTACAGTGCCCGTGACAAAGGGTGGCCCCCTAGAAGTGACAGAAATGGCTGAGAGATCTGCAAAGCCAGCTGGATCAGCCACAGAGAGCAAGCAGCGTCTCTGAAGGCCCTCGGGAGTGCTGGGTCATGATCCATTTCCCCTCCTCCTTACCTTCAGGTTATTCCTCTCTTCTCTCTACATTCCTTCCTTTGCCTTTCCTCTTCTGCTATGTTTATCAAGCAACTTTGAGATATATATATATATATAGGGGGGGACTATGTTCATATTCTTTCTGATATTTTAAAGTATACAGCTATTTGTTCCTGCATGCAAATATATTAACCCTCTCCCCAATATGCTGGATCAAGGGTGCTGCAGTTGTGCAAAAGGGAATCACCTCTTTTCATTTCCCTTGAGAGCAGACATTTCTTTGTATTCTGCAATACACCAAATCATGGAACTCCACAGAACAGATCCCAGCCACTGCTCACCTCAGTTTTTGCAGCTTGCAGCTGGGCTGCTTCAGCCCCTCACAGAGCAGCCTCACTCCAGCATCTTCCAGTCCATTATATTCTAGTGCCAGTTCTGTCAATGTCTGGCTGGTGCTGAGAATGGAGCTGAAATCCCCACAACAGGCAGGGCTGAGCTCATTTGTGTCCAGCCTGCAAGAGAAAACAAACAGATCCAACAAGTGCAAACATGGCTCACTCACTTCTACAGGCCCCTTCTATTTCATCCTCTGTTATGAAGAAGATATATTATTGTGAATTGTTGTTGTGAAATGAAACAACAGCCTTTCCACTCTAAATCACGGTGATCACGTCAGTGAATTTCTTCACTTTACAGCTGACGCAGCCTATAATTGATGGGTGAAGAAAGAAAGGCTGTCTGCCTCTATAGCTGAGCTGCATGTATACTGTGATCTGTGGATGGTTCTGATGTAAGAACTCAGGTCGGGACCCTTCAGCCAGGGACTCACCTATAACATGATATTCACTGCAGCAAAGGCTGGGCACATGCTCCCGTTTACTCTGTGTCCAGTTAGCTGCAACCCACGATCCATATCTATGCTGCAGCGATCCTATTAAAGGCTGTGTTTTGATGCATTTCCTCCCAAACCAGCTTCAACACGAGTTGAGAAAAAGAGCCACCTGGCTGTGCTTTAAGATGATGAAGGTGTACCCAGCCAAAGCCTCACTCTCCCTGTCCTCATCCATCACTGAGCTCTCGGCTCTGGTCCCAGAGAATTCTTTTAGGCACATGAGAAATTATTCTGTCATGGAGGTGATAAGACCACAGCAAGAAAGGAGAAAGGGTGAGGATTCCCGATATGGAGAGCTGGTTTGGACATTCAGCTCACCTCCATCTGACCTCATCACATACACGCCCTCCAAGGCACGGGTGGGGAACTGGCTCTGGCCAGGGAGCGGGATCCCATGCTCTTCCATCCCCACCCCAAAGGGTCAACCACCTGTCAGTCACCTGCTGTCAACAGAGTCCTCCTGTGCAGCCCTGATTGTTCAAACTGTACCTGAAAAGGAAGGCTTTTCCTTTGCTGCCAGAAAGTGCTAAATTCTGCCAGCAGCTAGAAATGAAGAAGCAGGAATGTGCTCCCGAGTCTCCCTTTTCAAACTGGCCAGTTCTGTGCCTGGTGTTATATATGGGATGGAGGAAACACCCGTGAGCCGGATGTTCACACACGGATTTTGCAATTGCAAGAGGTTTAGAAGAGGAGTCGAAAACTCTGACACTGAATGCACACCTGAACTTCCTAGTCAATCAAACATTTCCTAATACCTTTATGCAACTGTAGCTGAACAGAAGGCCCTCAATGGAAATTACATGGAGGCCAGTCTGAAGGTCTGTTCCTACAGACTGCTGGTTTACTCTGGTTCTGCTTTGCAGGGAAGAGGAAATAATAAGTGTTTGCGATATTGTCAGATTTTCATCCCTCCCTTTCAGAAAGGCAGGGTGGGTTATCCTTTGTTTTATCAAGAAGAATAAAGGCATGAATGATCCTACAGCTCTACAGAAACCAAGAGACCAGACTATGTTGTCCAGCAGGACCCCTGATCTACCCAGGACTCCTTGAAAGTAAGCTGCCCAAGGACTTCACACTTACAATAAAGTTTGCAGTACGCAGTTTGGATGTCTCAGTCCTTCAGACAACAGCTTCACTCCTGCATCTCCCACTTTGTTACATTCCAGGTTCAGCTTCATCAGAGTCCGGCTGGTACTTAGAACAGGGATGAGATCCTGACAACTGGCAGCTGAGAGATTGCAGCTGTCCAACCTGCATAGGGAGTGTGTGCAAAATTGTTATTACTTTTTTGGGGGGGCACTTGCTGAGCCTGTGCTTCTTTCATACTTCAAGCTGCAACCAAGATGAGCTGCATCCCATTTGCATTGCAGTGCTCTCTCTCTCTCTTCCCCCCGCCATGCCATGTGCCAGAGTGGGTGTGGCCAAAGTAGAAATGTGGGAACAGTGAAGACTGCAGTCCTCAAGTTTGCTATCCCAAAGGCTTTCCTATCAGCTATTGTGTGCTATTTTCAATAACTGTCATCAATTAATTGCTATCAAAGTTGGGTCTGAGGGTGGCAGTTCACTTTTTTGCCATAATAGTAACACAGCAAAATACACACTTTTTTAAATGGACAAATTAATTGGGGGGGGGGAGTCTTGGAGATCCCACAAAAAAACTTTTGGGACTGCAGCACCACAGCGGGTGATCTGCAAGACTTCTGATTTCTCTTTGTCCCCTAGCAGCCCCCTCTCCAAAATCTGCTCTGGAGGGTTCAGAGCAGAATTTTGGGTGGTTGTGCAGTGCAAAACATGAAAGAGAAACACAGGGCATGAGAAGACATCAACTCATCCCATGATGATTCTCTTCCTAAATTTAAAAATAAAAAGTTCCGAGGCCTCACACATTCAATCTTTTAAACCGTAAGTGTGTGTGTGTGTGTGTGTGTGTGTTGGAGAGGGCCACAAAACATGACCCTGGTTTAGACTACTGCAGAATGATCTGTGTGTGACTGCCCTTGAGGAACGTTCAGAAACCTTTCGTCATTCCCCAAGTTGGTGAGGCTCATTTGACAACAACGAAAAGCTGAGCCTTTAGCGTCACTGGCTGGATCCTATGGAACACCCTGCCAATAAAGATTCAGCAGGCAACTTCTGTGCCAACTTTTAAATGCCTGCGGGAAACTTTTCTATTCCACTAGGCCTATGCAGACAATTAAGAGTACATCCCCCCACAATGGACTGCTGATATTTTTTTAATTTTTGCCTTTAACTTGCTATGATGTTATTGTTTGATGTTTTATATTGTTGCAAATTACTATTATATATTTTTATGATACAGCAGTATAATAACTATTTTTTAAAGCAAAATTAAAACTGCAGCTGGTGCAGTTTTGAGCATATGATTCCACCACTGCCTGATTCACCTTGGCCCCCAGTGTTATTTCTGAGTCCATCTTAAAGTGCTGGCTAAGACCTAAAAAAATTGGATCACCTGCTTGGTAAGACCACCTGCTTATCAAACAGCACTAGACCTGATCCACCAGCTCTGGGCTTTGGCAGTCTGGTTCTGAAAGGGACAGCATGGTGCTCCTCACCCCAAGCTCTGCAGCTTGCAGTTCGGATGCTTCAACCCCTCACACAGCAGCTGAACTCCTTGATCTCCCAGTAAAGGATTCCAACCCAGTTCCAGCTCTGTCAGCTTCTGACTGGTACTGAGAACAGTGGAAAGGTCTCTGCTAGAAATGGAGGTCAGGCCACAGTCCTTCAGTCTGAAAGGTAAAAAAAAGAGGTGAGTGGCTGAAAGAGCCTGAGATCGAGATGACATCACATGGCTTCTCACCCTTCTCCTAAGAATCATGAAAAAGGTGTGATCCAGCACAGGAGAACCTTGTGTCCTTTTCACTCCTTGCGGAGCACTGATCACATTAGGCCCACTTGCCTAACTAGGTATAGTGATCGTTGGTTTCACTGAGGATAGTTATGATTTAATTTATTGGGGAACTTAGGAATATCCATTTTCAAACAATGGTCCCTTTAATGTTGAAAGATGCTTTGGACTAAGAGATAAAAGTCAGTCAGATTAAAACTGATTAAAAACACACACATACAGTATATACACACTTACACACTTTTCTATATGTTGAATTCTGAGAAATTCAGGTTAGGATCTGTGATGGCAGGAATTATAGAATATGGCAAACCATACCCAGCATTATACATCACAGTGTGTATATAGAAGGAATACACACAGATGCAGTGTGAATCAAGATACAGAAGAGGGACCACAAGAAAGGGAGATACTGACAGCACACACCTGAGAGATAGTGGGCCCTTAAGCTTCATGTTCTAGTTTAAAATTTTGAAATCTCTCCAAAACAGGCTTTTGTCCAAGAGGGAGAAATTGTGCTGTGGTTGTTTTTTAAAACAGCAAAACCCCTGAGTAATTTTGCACACCTTAAGACAACCGACGTCGTGCACCCTCAATGCCTTTATGTTCCACTGGTAATGCTTAGGCAGAAGAAGCTTTTTTTCAGCTTACCCCAGTTTTTCTAGCATGCAGTTGGGATGAAGCAGCCCTTCGCATAGCAGCCTGACTCCCGATTCCTTCAGAATGGCTGCCTGCAAGTCCAGTTCTACCAGCTTCTGGCTTGTTGATAGAACAGTGGAAAGATCTGCACAGCAACCGTCTGTGAGCTGGCATCCATTAAGCCTGCAAAATGGGACAGAAACAGCTCCATTGGCCAGCTCTTTCCCTGGGTATCCTTTGGACAAATCCTCATAAACACGGCTGATTCTTCTCCATCATCTCAATGAGCAGATGCTGATTACGCACAGGACCCCTGAACGTGTGTAAAACATTCTGCATCTGGAGCTTTTCTTTTTCTCCTGTGTTTTTCTCCTTAGGTGGTTCAAAGCACAACAGCTTTTAATATTTCCTCTAAATTAGCAAACTCTTTCTCTGGGATCCACGGAAATGCTCTGGGAAGTTGCCATAGGCAAATGGAAGGCATTTGAGAAGCATGCTAAAGACCAACAGATATGGGGAAATGGAACCCAGATGTAAATAACTGGCTTAGGAAGCAAGCGACTTCTAATTCTGTTCTGCACGGGAGGCTAAGCTGTGGCCCTTCAGATGTTGTTGGGCAGGAACTCTCATCATCCCAGACCCCTGGGGTCAGGCTTGCTGGGGCTGATGAGAGCTAAAATCCAGCAATATCCAGAGGGGCCACAGGTTCTCCTCTCCTACTGTACTGAAAACACAGAGAGAGATGGACCTTCACATTAACAGCTACCTTGGCACTTGGGGTGTGTTGGTCCACCCAGTGGCGGAGGAAGCCACTCGGGTGCCTGGGGCGGCGTGCCCAGGGGCGGGGCGAGCCACCCAGACGGGTGGGGTGCACCGCGGGGCCTCCGGAGTCTGCCTGCCTCCTCCCACTCAGCCACCTTACAGCTGGGGGGAGGCAGCGGGTGGATTGTTTGGGCTGCGCTGAGAGACACGTGGCTCAAGCGTGCTGCAGGCCCCGCGGTGAGTGCCGCCTGGCATTTTGTCACCCCGCCCCAGTGGTGACACCCGGGGCGGGTGGCACCCACCTCACCCCCTTCCTCTGCCCTTGGGTCAACCTGGTCTTTCCAATGGCCTTCCCTCCCCTCCTGGCCAAGAGGAGCAACATTTTTGTCAGGTCTTGCTAGCCAAGCCAAAAAGAGTAGATGGCTTCCTGTGGTATTAAAGGTGTGTTGGGTGCTGGAGTGGCTAAGGAAGCACCTTGCTAATGATTTCTGGAGGAAAGGCCAGTGGGGAGCTTGCCAATTTTGCTGCTCCGCAATCAGGGTGCCCCAGCAAGAAAGCAATCCCTGGCTGACCTCCCAAGCTTGGAGCCAGAGAATGTATGGGATCTCCGTATAGTTGTGGGGATGATCTCCACCCACCTCCAAAGTCTAAGGTGGAGAGAAAGAATGACCACTGCTCACACCCACCAGAGGCCTGTGGCACATGAGAATGGAGAAGCCTGTCCCTCCTGACATGTGAAGGAAACTCTGAAACACTTAATTGTTAGTACAGGGGGAACAAACTCTGCAAAACTGGAAGTAGGTGTTCCAGCTAGCAAACTTTGCACTGGAAGCCAAACGGAAGCCAAACAGTGGAAGGGCACTGGCGGTGGGAGGCCTCATTAGGGAAAGTGCGCCTTGGTTTAAGAACACTTTTGGTTAAGAACAGACTTCCAGGACAAATTAAGTTCGTAAACGGAGGTACCACTGTAGAGTGGTACCTTGGTTGTCAAACGGCTTGGCTCCCAAACAAATAAGCTCCCAAATGTTGCAAACCCGGAAGTAAGTTTTCCAGTTTGCGAACGTTTTTCGGAAGCCAAACATCTGACTTGGCTTCCATAGCTTCCGTTTGAGTGCAGGAAGTTCGAGAACCAAGGTATCACTGTATTAATTTAAGCTTTCCCTAAAGAGGGGCTGGGTGCAACTCTCACAGAATCATTGCGGGCCCCCCAAGGGTCATCTGTGTAGTTCCACCTCATGGAATGCAGGAATCATAAAGCTCAACATACATCTTGCCGACAGATCTGTTTCGCACTTGATCATGTGAATATTGCCAGAGAAAGGAGCTGATGATGAGATCTAATATAGAGTCCTCCGTAGCCTCCCAAAACTTTCATGACCTCAGACATTTCCACTTGCCAGTTATTCAGCAAACCTCTGACAATGTGGGGCTGCCCTGGGACCCCTTCAGGCACTGCTTTGGAAATACCTGAACCTCAATAAGACACACATTAGCTGAGTGTGTCTGATTCAATAGAGCCAAACAAGTAACAAGGCAGGGAAAACAGCTGTGACTTACTCCAGTTTCCTGATTTTGTTGTTTGGATCTTTCAGTGCTTGACGGAGAAGGTAAACTGCTGAATGCTCCTGTGTTTTCTGATCTGGCCTAAAAAGGTAGAAAAGTTCATTATGTTCTGTTTTCTAATATAAAATGAGCATAATGGACAAAATATGCTTATTGGTTACGCTACCCTTTTTGTTTTGGGAGAGAAAAAAGCTGTTTTAGTGATTGCACTACAAAATTTAAACTGGTTTGAAAGAAGTTTAACTGTCGCTACTTCTTTCCAATAAATGTAGGAAGTTCTAGGTCTGTAAGTGTGGTGATCATTCTTCCTCAGAGAGCCCTAGGCCTTTTACGAAACTGCATTTCCCAAGGTGCTTAGGACAGTTAACTATACTGGCTGGGGCTGATGGGATTTGGAGTCCAAGAGCAGTATACCTGAAGGAGCATCTCAGTAGAACTGAAAGAGTATACGTGAAGGAGCGTCTCCACCCCCATCATTCAGCCTGAGGTCCTCCTCCGAGGGCCTTCTGGTGGTTCTCTCACTGCGAGATGTGAGGTTACAGGGAACCAGGGAGAGGTGGCGCCTGCCCTGTGGAACATCTTCCCATTAGATGTTGAGGAAATAAATAAACAACTATCTGACATTTAGAAGACACCTGAAGGCAGCCCTGTTTAGGGAAGTTTTTAATGTTTTGTTGTGTTTTTAATGTTCTGTTGGGAGCTGCCCAGAGTGGCTGCGGAGACCCAGCCAGATGGGCGGGGTTTTATTTATTTATTTATTATCCAGAGGACCCCTGCTCTACAGCTTTGCAAAGACATAATCCAGATATAAAGGGGAGAAGAAAGAAGGATTTGCCAAAAAACAAAAAAGAAAGAAAGCAAAGAGCAGAAGTCTTTGGTAAGGCATATTATGAGAAGTAGGAAAGAAGAGGAATAAAAATCAGCTACATCAGTAATACATTTAAGAGTTTGGGTCCTACTTACTGACATGGATGACTGAGATGCCCTGGAAGTTCTTCTCCCTCAGGTTCCTTCGAGAGAAACAAACATCCGTACAGGCAAAGCGCCTCCAAGTGTAAACAGTTCTGGACACAGAAGGAGAGAACAGCTTGGTCCAGGGGAGTAAATGTCAATCTGTCCATCGTTACTTCAGTCAAACGGTCGAGAGCACATTGGGCAAATTCCTCTTCTTGGGTTGCATACAAATAGTGAAACCTCTCCAGCGGGCGATAATTTGGATAATCTGACTTAATCTGTGTGTCTGTTTTAAACCAATCCAGCAAGTCAGCCTTAATTGCAGGTGAAATTTGCCACCCAAATTGTTCTTTCAGGTATTCCATTATTTCTCTGTTTAATAGGCTAAAGATGAATTGGGCAAATAAGGTCAAATCTCCTGGGTCTTTGCCGCATCCTTCTAGTGAGAGTTCCACATCTTGCTTCATAGTCTCAGGATCTTTGGGCGTGTCTTCCAAAACATAGAGCAAGGCCGCAAGAAACTCTTGTACACTGAGGTGGAGGAACCTATAGAGACCTTCAGAATCAGGGTCTTTCTGAAAAAGAGCAGGAGGAAGAGAACCTAAGTGACCTGAACTTTGCTTCTGGATTTCTTCGGCCTTGAACAAGGTCTTGTTTTTCCTGATTCCATCAGCAGCCAGTGAGCAGAGCCCTCTCAGATTCCACTGCCCTGAGCTACTGCAGGGAGACTCAGTCAAACGGGAGAGATAAAGTGCATATACCGCAGTGAGTTTTTCAGACACTGGCACTGGATCTTCCTTGCCCCTGTCTAGCTGCTGTTTCATCACAGTGCAGAGGACCCAGCACAAATTGGGGACAAAGGATAGGGCAAAGAGTGCTTCATCCCCTTTAACATACCTAAGAGCCTGTGTTGCTAATTTTTGATCTCCAAAGACCTTGAGGAAATACTCTTCTTTGCCCTCCTCAGAAAAACCCAAAAGTCTCACGCAGCGTTCAGACTGCAGGCAATTCCTGAGGCTTTCCAAAGAGGATGGCCTGGTAGTAATTAGCAGGCAGGCCTCTGGAAGAAGGGCTCTGTGAAATAATGCACTCAAGAGGACTCCCACCGGCTTCTTCTCCCTGGGATCAACGCTTGGGTTGTCTTCCTGGTGTTCGATGGGGCAAGTGAGTTCATGAAAGCCATCAATTATGAAGAGAAGCTTGACAGGGTTTTCTAGGAGTTCCATTATCTCTTCTCTCTCTCTAAGCTCAGGGTCACCGTTTAAAATCAAGTCAGCCAAGTCCGCCTGGCCCTCAACGAGATTCAGTTGCCCACAACGGAGGTAGAAAAGGTAATCAAATCTCCCGGAAAAGAGTCTTCCAGCTGCCCAGTCTAGCAGGATCTTTCTGGCCAAGGTGGTTTTCCCAGTCCCAGCCCCTCCCAGGAGCACCACAGTCTGTGGTCCATCGTTGTCAACCTCAAACAAGGCCTCGGTGGGAACAGCAACCATTTGCTCTGACATGACCCCAGAATGTCTCCATGGTCTGTGCAGTATTTCAGTCTCTCGTCTATCTCCATTTGCAATAATTAGTTGCTCATATTTTTCATTGGGAGGCCCATAGACCCCATGGCTGGCCAGCCTTCTTTCAGGGCTTTGGTATTTCTCTCTAATATGTTCTCTGTATTTCTCCCTGTAATCTAATTCAGACATTATTTGTCATTAGGCATACTTTATTAATTCTGAATGAAACTGAGCAAGCATCATTGTGGATTGCAAAAAAAACCAATTAAGCTTTTGGTGTATTTGACAGGCTTTCTGAAATATATTTGGCAAAATGATACAAAAGCTGGGCGAGTTCACGTATTTTTTACATGGTTCCTTTCCAGAACCAGCTCCCCATGCTGGGAAATGTTAACACATGAACTGATTCACAGAGAAAGTATTTTTGACAGAGAAAAGTTCTGTTTGAATTAAGACCTGAGACAGCGGTTTACTAGCTGCAAACCTGTGCACATTTACGTGGGACTAAGTCCCACTGAACTCAGGACTTCTAAGCAATCTGCATAGGCCGGCACTGTACAAAATCCTACTGTACAATATCCTACTTCAGACACCACCCTTGTCTTGCTCCAACACTCCTCCTTTCAGTTGTCCTTAAAAATCCACTTCCTGGAATCCAGAAGAAACTTCCTTATCACATCAAGTAAGATTCTGAATCACAGCAAATGCTCCTATCTTCAGACAAATGGCAGGTTGCCCGTAAAGTCCCTCCGTCTGAAAGCAGAGATAAGCACTGCACCCTAAAGTCGAATTTGACTGGACTTAACTGTCCAGGGGTCCTTTACCTTAAATCCCCCCCTTTTCTGCAACTCCAAAATTAACAAAATAACTGCAATACTGCTCACAATTCGGTTACTTCAAAACTCACCAAAGTCCACCTGATTTCAATTAAGCAACCTGAACTAATTTGAACAGGATTGCAAGCAAAACGATCCTGGCTTACCTGGCCGCATCGGTGGTGTCATTTATGAACATGAAAGAGAAAACGAACAAAACCAGGACACTACTTCCCCTGGAACACAAAAGGGCAGGGTCACCTGAAATAGGCTAAGCAATTTCTTCTCAGTCTTAAGATCCAATACAATCTCTACAGTTCAGACGGCCCTTTGTATGTCATCGGTTTCTGCTTAAGTTTAAATGCACTCAGCAACAAGGAAGTATCCCGACGAAAAAGGTGGAGAGAAATGGATTTGTCCTCGGGTTCCGGTAATCTTAGACTGAAAGTCCACCATCTGCTGGTGGAAGTCAGTATTAGTGTGACCAGACCAGACCAGAAAAATGGGATAGCCCAAAAATCAAGGTATGTGGCTGCAAGACAACCTGCAAAAGCGCCATGTAATCAATTTTGAGAACCTTTTCATGTAGTGGAAGAGCAGATTTTAGCTTAATATTTTAACTCTGGACAGTGGAACTGGCTCCCTCACAAGGTGGTGGACTCTTTTTCCTTGGAAGTTTTAAAGCAGATGTTTGATGGTCAATATCCAGACACCAGTCAAGATCGATTAAATGGTGTTTATTTAAAAGGCATAGCTTGTGGAAACATGCCCTTCACAGACAGTGGAGAAATGTTACACTGAACACAGGAAAAACAGCATTCACTTCATACTTCACATGGAAGCAATGCATTGACTATGCAGCTTAGTCAGATTTTCACGCAGCATAGCAACAGGACGTCAGCTTTTTTGCCTTATTCTCCTTGCCTTCACCAGCACCCACTGCTTTATAATCATTCCTCCGCTTCTATTGTAACTACTGCACAACTGGCTACTTTTAAATAATGGTATGTGATCTCTCTTTCTCTCTATTTAGCCTACCTTTACCACTAAAGGGCTTTAAAACCACTTACGACACATAAAAACAGATAAAATCCAACACAGCATTAGAATTACCAGATAAAAACAAAAACTCACAAACAGCAAATGCAATACAGTGTTCAAATAAAAATAAAGAATCAGACCAAAAAGAATACCCAAGACCAAAGGCCCAGTGAAATAAACCAGGCTTTGTAGCTGAATGAAAAGGCTGGGGGCCATAAAAACCTCCAAAGTCATTCCACAACCTGGTTGCCACCACTGTAAAGGCCCTGCGACAAATCCTTATCAAACCTATACAGTGGTACCTCGGGTTACATACGCTTCAGTTTACACACTCCGCTAACCCAGAAATAGTGCTTCAGGTTAAGAACTTTGCTTCAGGGTGAGAACAGAAATCGTGCTCCAGAGGCGTGGCAGCAGCAGGAGGTCCCATTAGCTAAAGTGGTGCTTCAGGTTAAGAGCAGTTTCAGGTTAAGAACGGACCTCCGGAACGAATTAAGTACTTAACCTGAGGTACCAGTGTACAGCTCTGATGGCAGTGAGACACAAAGAAATGTGGGTAAGTTATAGGGTAGAACGACACCTTTAGACTGCAAGGATGTTAATGGTATGGGGTTTTACAGCCCTAACAACTTTTTTCTGTATACAACCAACAAGTTGATTCTATTTGTTTCCTGGAATTTATATACTGCTTTACGGTTTCGGGGGGGGGGGGGATTCCAAAACTTAAAAGTGGTTAATTTGCTCCCAGGGACAAAACTAGAATTATTGCCCAAAAAATGCAATAATGTCATATGAACTATATAACGGGCACCCACAAGCAGCCTGCAGAAACTTACATCTCAAATTTATTTCCCCTTCAAAGTAAAGCTTGGTTGGGTTGGTGACTTTTGGCTGCCATTTCTCAACAATGATATCTTTTTGATAAAAGTATTTAATTGCCAGAATTACTGGGTGGAATTTAACCTTGTGCTCTTCCTGTTTATCCATTTGCGCAAACATTCCTGCCTGCCAGATGGAAGTCTCCCCTCCTCCCCCTCAAGACTATTCCAGTTTCTCTCCAAAAACAAACAAACCCCAAACCAATTTCAGGGGGGTGGAGGTGCACAGAGGGCTCAAGGAAGGAGGAGGTGTTGCATAATGAAATATATAATGCATATTATTGTATAATAAAATAAAAGGGGGGGAGAGAAAGCCACACTGTGCAAGTGAAAGTCTTTGTGCAGGTCTTCTGTCAACAGAACCAATTAGGTGAATCCTGCCCGTAGTTTTCTTAATCTTCACTTCTTTCATCACCACTCAGGTATGCCAATACGTTCTCCATTCAACCTGTAATCGAAAATCGCATTTAATTTTCCCGTATTGAGAAAGGACAAGTTCTTGGTCAAGTTCTAGTTACTGCTAGAAATAAGTTCTAGTTATTGCTAGAAATAAGGCCCCAGGTATTTCATCCTAAAACACAAAATGCCTGGTTGTTCTGTATACAAACTAAAAACCCATCTTTTAATATTCTTTTCTATAACATTTGCGGAAGGATAGTAAGCCTGCGCAGCCTAAACAATGGTTTATTTCCCTATTTTAAGCACAAATTTGAATTGCCGCTAAAGCTTTAGGCTCCAATCCTATGTATTAGCATTTGCCAACCTGGTGCACTACTTTGGGGGGAAGGGGCCCTCTACTCGCATAATCGGACACAAATTTGCATATGACACACAACATATGCAAATCTGTGTCCTCTTTTGCTACCAAAGGGGCTGATCTACTGAAAAATGTATTGGACTGAGAAAATTGTATTGGCACTCCTGCATGTGCTCTTCTGGTATAGTGCCTTAAACCTAAAGCTGGACAGACCACCAGAAGTATTAAAACAAGGCCAGATTCTTTTAAACATAACCCATCCTGCTGGAATATATGGCTCAGGGGTAAGAGTAACGCCTAGATCCAATCCCCTAGAGGCCACACTCTGACATGACAGATTTCCCCTACAAGAAATCCCACATTCTGGTAGATAGAATTGCAATTTCCTTAAGTGCCCAATCATTATGAGGCACGATTTCAAAATGGCTGCCGGAAATAACTCACCATAGTCCCTGCCGTCTTCTCCTTCCATGTTGCAGTGCATTTCTGAACTGATCCTTGCCAGAGGCTCCCAGGACGTCACAGCTGACATGCAGTCTGGTCAGTGACTGGTTTGTAGTCAGGGCAGCACAGAGGTTCTCACAAGCAGCAGGTGTCTTGCCGCACCCATGCAGCCTACACAATGTAAGGACAAATCCCCAGTGACATCCTTCATTCTCACAGTCATAGCTTCAAAATGCCTGGCACTAAATAACTGAATAAATAATCCAAGACCTGAAGCGCAGGGAGATTCTTTCACAGCAACTATCTTCCTCAGGACCAGGCAGCTGCTGTTAGGATCTCCACAACCCTCACCAGCCTCTCATGGTTTTAATGAAGGGCAACAGGAATGGTACTGGGGCATATGAGTTGTCCTGCCATTATGACAGGATTCAAAAGATCTAACCATGTATGTGATCAATTCCCTTCGCCTGCTCAGATTATCTACTGCTGGCTTAGCCAAGGGCCCCATTCCATTATGGACAACTTTCTGAGGGCCACAAACCAGTGGTGGGCAGGGCTAGATGTAAATATGGACAGAGCAATGGATGTGAATCTTACTTTTGCATATAATGAGCTACATTCCACTGATGCCAAAGACAGTAGTTTACGTACACACACACACACACACACACACACACACACACACACACCTCCATTCTCCTTCCAAGGAAGGAAGAGGTGTTTCACTGTTCAAGGACACATTCCAACTGGCAAAAGTACTCAAAGGGAGTATGGCCTGGGAAAGAGTATGGCCTGATCTGGAGAGAGTCCCAAAAGCCAAATGACTGGAGAGTCTCATTCAGTCCTTGGGACTGCAGTTGCCCAACCCTGATGTACGACTTCTCCTCAAAAAACCACACATGGCAGCCTTCTCCCCATAGCAAGGATAAGAGGCAAGGGGATTGGTTTTTAAACTTGCATGTGAAGCGCAAAGAGGGATCGATTGTCACAGCCACATGGTCAAGCCATGGGTAATACTGTCACTCTCTGCTTTGCACAGGAAGTTGGGGAAGCGTTTCCCCTGGAATTTACAGAAGATCTACTTTAAATATTATCTACAATTACCTCCAAGCAGAAACTAGGTAAGGCAGGCTGTTTTATGAAGAGTGCTGGGCAGACTGACAAACTGGGACACAGTAACACAACTATTTTTAAAATGCAGTTGATACTGAGTCCTCAGTCCTCATTTTTAACAACTGTTGCAGCACCCTGACAAATGAAAACAAGCACAGATTAAAGAGAGTGTTGAGCTTCTGCAAAGGAGCTGGTGACCTACTCTAGAATCTCCAGTTTACAGTCTGGGTGTTTTAGTCCCTCGCAGAGCAGCTCCACTCCCTTGTCTTCGATTTCATTCCAAGCCAGATCCAGTTCTATCAGTGTCTGGCTCTCCCTCAGGACTTCGGCAAGATCCCCGCCACAAGCTTGTGTAAAAGAGCAGTGGGACAACCTGCACGGAACAGTAACAAGAGTTATCAGGATGGAGGAGTTATAAACATGACATCAAGAACAACAGTGACCTGTCGGACTTACACAATTTGCGAAGCTTCAACTAAAATGGGTTCTCTTTGGTCACCCACAGTTTAAAACTAAGTAAAAAGGGAAAACATTTTTGCAATTCATACTGGTGGCTCATGAATGGTGTGATCTATTTGCACCCAAAGGCCTTAGGTGGTAGGTGGGTGCTCAGAGATCACATGGCCATGAGTGTGGCGGGTGGTGGGTTTGGCTAGAACTGGGCAGATTCACTGACATACAAACACACTCAATAGATATCCTGATGGCTGATCAGTTGGGCATTAGCGAAAGGTTGTCAGCAGTGATGGATTCCCAAATAGGCAAAGAAGGCACCAACCTTTTAGGGGGCCCGCAACAACGGTTCAAATTAATATTGATTTCATTTTGAAAGAAAATTCCAAAAACATGTTAGGAGATAATTTGTGAGGGAGGCCCCAAGATTTTGAATACCTAGGGGCCTCCACAGGGTTTAATCTGGCACAGGTTGCCAGGGCTAACCTAGAGAGCAGCCAAGGGGTCACACAGGCCTATCATAGAATCTCAACTAAAGAATCCATGACTTATGGCCATCCAACCTCTGCTTAAAAACCTCCAAGTAAGGAAAGTCCACCTGTGCTTCAGAGGGTTAAATAGGTAACACAAGTCCCACCTCCTGCCCCACAAGTTTGGCAATCTTTAGAACAAGTATTTCGCTTTCAAAACAAAAAGGAAACAATATTCCACTATTAGAGGTTACAGCCCACACACTTCTGCTGCGCTTTCTGCTTGTGTGGTGGCACCTCAGCAAAACCACTTCTTACTGTTTTCCCGAGGCAGAGGACAAGAACAGGAGTCATACTCAAATTCACAGTCAGGAGCTTCTTTATTGCTTGACTCGTTGCACAAGCATTTCTGTTATCATTCTTATAAACTATTTACATTCCTTCTTTATCTCTCCAGCATGGTATAATCTCAGTCCAATAATTAACAATTCTGATACAACAAAACTCACAGTATCAGCAGCATACATTGTCCTACTTCCAACCTTGTTAGCGTGCGTGCTATGTGTGTGTGTGCTTTCCTCGTGCAGAAATTGCAGCCTGCAACTTCCTCCCTTTATTTGCACCTCCAGCTGACACCAATCAAACCTAGAGTGCCACTCCTACACACTAAAGAAAGTTCTGGAACCCTCTTTAAAGCTTCTAGGAACTTTTATCTGTTTCTTAAAGAATGTTTTCGTAACATCCAATTGGTTTTCCTAACATCCATTTCCTGTTGCTGGACTGCCATTTCCAGATTCTAGACTTGTGGATTTAACATAACCCATACTTGCCTGGCTTTGAGCTTTGGTCAGTTTAACATGGACCCAATTAGATCATACAAGCCACTCAGAGCGGCAATCTGTCAAGATTCTTTCTTCTACTGCATTTTTAACATTTTGTTGGAAGCCGCCCAGAATGGCTGGGGAAACCCAGCCAAATGGGAGGGGTATAAATAACAAATAATCATTATAAATGATTATTTTGACTCACTTGGATGTATAATAGTCTCACTTGCAAATAGTGTAAAAAGAAATGAAGAATATCTATATAGATTTGCTGTTGAACGTATGACATGTGCCCCAACAGCAATGTGAGGGGCATTAATTTCCCATTAGCTTAACTCCTGATAGTCTTTGTCTGCCAATAGGTATCACCATGATCACTCCATTTTGCATGACAAAAATGCTGCATTTATTACATATTACACTGCATTGTATATTTTCACATGCTCACACAAGTACTCACCTCAAACTCTGCAGCTTGCAGTCTGGATGTTTTAGCCCTTCACATAGTAGCTTCACCCCTGAATCACCTAATGCATTCCAAGTTAAATCTAATTTTCTTAAGGTCTGGTTGGTAATGAGAGCAGAAGACAGAGCCTTGCAACAATCTGCTGTCAGACAGCAAGCAAACAACCTAAATCAAACAGAAGGAAATGGCTATGAACAGAAGAAGTAATATGACTGTTTGGTAAAAAAAAAACAATTTTCCAATTATGATATAATCACTTCTGAAGTTCCCTAATGCTGAATCCTTCGAGCCAATTTACATACCACCAGATAATGTCTGTAAACTATGATATCATTTGTTAAATACTGTCTAACTTTTTTGCAACTATTGTGCTGGAATATTAGCTCTACATTTCTGAGAATCTGGAGCAAGATTACTTTTTAAATGTGTTTGGAGATGCCCCATACATATTTCAGGGTACCTACAGGTGTTTTGTTTATTAAAGGAGGTTATGATTCTCTGAATAATCAGGTAGTGGCTGCTGTTGAGATAGAGGAAGGTTCAGGGGTATCTGTTACAAGCCTTCAATCCCACTATTATTCTTTCAGCTCTTTCATAAACTAAAAAGTCCCAAATATAGCAACTCTCCTTCACAGAGTCATTCCAGCCACTTGATTATTTTGTCCTCCTCTGCACCCGCTCCAGCTCTGCAAGATCCGTTTTGAGGTATGGCAACCAGAACTATACATAGTGTTTCAAGTGTGATTGCAGCAGAAATCTGTATAAAGGAATTAAGATTCCGACAGTCATATTTTCAACCCCCTTCCTAATGATCTCCAGCACACAATTCACCTTTTTTACAGGTGCTGCACAATGAGTCAACAAACTTGATCAAGCTATCCATCATGGCCTCAAGATCTTTTTGGTGGTAGAAAAAAATCTAGCAAACATCTCCGTGTCCTTCTCTCTGTTACACTTTTGATAACCCTTTTCTTGGCAATGTATCCCACATTACATAGAAACCTATACGAACCCCCCCCCCCCACCGTAGAACGGAAGTATAATTGTAGATATTCTTTTTATCATTACTGGAAGAAGCCTTTTGCACAATGCATTCCAAGAGGCAGATTTCATACTTACGACAAAACCTCAAGCTTGCAGTTTGGATGGTTCAAGCCCTCACACAGCAGCCTCACTTCTGAATCTCCCAGTTTATTATCTCGTAAATCTACTTGTTTCAGCATCTGGTTTGTGGCAAGGGCAGAAGACAGATCTCCACAACTTGTGATGCTGCACTTAACCAACCTGCAAGATGGAAACATAGCTCATTCCAACAGCACACACCATATATGGTAAAGATGGAAGGATAAAACATGGAGTGGCTCTGGACCAGACTCAAACTACCTGCAACAGGAAGATGTTTGGCTAATGGTGGCCACATGCATCTCCCTGATAATCTGTAGCTTGGGGAAACACATGGCATGCTGTCATGGCATCAGTGTTCCACTGTCTCCTATATGCAGCAAGAAGTAAAGCATGAGGAGTGGGAGCTCACACTAGGATGGTACATTTTTTCAACCAGGGAGACATATGGGGAGCAGGTCAGCAGCACCTACATCTCTCTCCATGTCATGGGTTTCCAAGGGCAAGGTGGGAATGGGTTTAATATGGCAAGGGTTTCAATTATTTGGTGATGTTGCTTTGGATTGGAGAGGGTCTGGAGAGGACAAATGCCAAGGACTTCATAATTTCTGAACTTAAAAATGGAAAGCATAATGCTGGTGGTCAACAAAAGAGGTTTAAAGACTGTCTCAAGGCTGTGGAAGGACGTGTGGATCCAGAATTGGCTTACACAATCACTTACAGACTCATTGTTAAAACCGTGTTTATGGAAGACAATCTTACTCAGCTACAAGTGATCGCCAAAGAAGAATTGGATATATTCAGACTGACACACACAGAAAAAAGGAAAATAATCAGAGCACCTTATTTGAAATCCTAGAAAAAGTTAGATATGGCATTAACACGAATAGTAATCGCTAAAAAATGTAGCTGTTATCTTAATGATTAATATACTAACTGAAATGTAATTAGAAGTTGATAAAAAATATGAACCACAGCAATATAAGAACTGGACAAAAACCAGTGATCAAGGAATGCGAGGAAACACTTTGCTTAAATTGTATAAATTTGGAATTAATTGGAACTATTTTGATATTAATTGGTATCTGTATAATTGGCAAAACTGTGGTAATATTGGGTAAATATTGGAAAATTAATACAAATTTATATTTTAAAAAAATAATCCAAGTGTGCCCACTGCCTCCCCCCCCCCCAAAGTTGAAAACTCCTGCATGAAGCATTCAGTTGAGTGAACTGCACCAGTCAAACCTACTGTAGGTTCTCTAATTTACAAGCTGGATCCTTTAGTCCCATACACAGCAACATCATTCCTATGTTCCACACTTTATTGAAACGCAGATCTAACTCTCTCAGCGTCTGGCTTGTACACAGAACTTTGGCGAAACCCCAACAAGCAGTTCCTGAGAAAGAACAGTTGGATAACCTGCAGAGGACAGCAAAAGAAAAAACAAGAATACTTCTGGATGAGTTGTGAATAGAATTTCAAAAACAAGAACAATCATAGATTGGAAGGGACCAGAAGTCCAACCCCCTGCAATGCAGGAAACACTGAACATGGTTTTTTAAAAAGCAAGCAAAATAAGTGAAGGGTTTTGCACAATGGGTCAGAAAGGACAGTGGGGTGGCTTTCTGGTTGCCAAATTCCCAGGTCCAAATGAGCCTAGTGCTGGTCTGCCATGAGAATGGCCCCTTACACCCCTTGGTGAGTATTTTATTTTGTTGAGTTCTTACTCTCTCAACAGTTTACATTATTAGGGCAGCCTTAAAAACTTAACATTTGTTTCTTTGCCAACATTTCTCATTTCCCCAAACATTATCCAAAAAGACACAAGAACAAGAGAAAGGGAAGTTTTGTAGGCAGAAACAAATAAAAACTCAAATAAACACACATTTAGTTCGAAACTGGAGTAAACATTTTCTTTTTTAATGTTAAATAAGGACTAGCAGATCCAAACCATGTGAGAATAAGGAACTTAAAGTGAGCTTTATATGGGGAACAAGCTGACTACTGACGAGGTGGTTAGGCTTTGAAAGGGTTGTCAATACAACAGTGTATGTGACTGCAAAAATTTGGTTGGTTTTCCAGGTGCACAATTATTTCATTTTTGTTCTGCCTGTTAACACTCACACGAGCTTCTGCAGCCTGCAGTTAGGATGTTTTAAACCTTCACTAAGTTGGCGGATTCCAAAATTTCCTAGTGCATTGTCTGATAAATCCAGATCTGTCAGGGTCTGCTTGGTACAGAGCACAGAGGACAGGTCCTCACAACATGCTCCTGTCAGTCCACAGCTATATAACCTACAGCAAACAGAAATACAAGCACGAAAATAAAACATGTTTATGCATCTGTCCCCATCTTTTCCTTTCCCCACTGCCATCTCCTAAGATATTCTGGTTGCCTTGGCACTGGCAAAGTGCCAGTAGAATGCCTCAGAGGGGAAAGCTGTATGTACATATGACTACACCCCACATTTCCACACCTTCCGTCACAACAACAAAAGTTGGCTAACAAAGTTGTCATGTTCCTTCTGACCTACTCCTCCACAAATACTGCTTCATCTGCATCTCTGATGTCAAGAGTAGGGCTGGGCGATATCTGGTTTTCAACATCGTAATATACCACCAACTAACCATCAGTGATATATCATGATATCTGAAATAATACCGAAAAAGGCTAAAAAAGTGGTGGGGCTGTGGAGTGACATGGGGGAAATGAAGAAGGTTGCCTGCTTGCTGGGCAAAGGCGCTCCTGCCCGCTCCCTCTCATCCTCTCTCCACAGCTTGGCCTTGGCAGAAGGAGCCTGAGAAGGTGGAGGAAAGACAGCCTGTCCCACTTGCTCAGGCAAAGGCAAATGTGCAGGCAGGCAGATGGGAGCAGGCAATTGAGCTGGTAATACACTGCAGCTTCCCGGCCGCTGCCAGTACAGAACAGGCAGATGGAAGTGAAATGCGCTGTGCTGGTGGCGGCCAGGGAGCCGTGATGTATTGCCAGCTCAAAAAGTCTGAAACTGGTATCACAATCTGAACTTCATATCGGTTTCAGATGATGAATTGAAATATCACCCAGCTCTACTCAAGAGGGTTAGCAGACAGAGATGGACTCTCGTCCCACTTATTGCTGACCTCACTTGTCTTCAGGATGAAGGAGTGAGATAAAGGGAAGGACCTTAAACCTTCAGTCAGCCCCAGCAATCATAGAAAATGCCCACAGATATGAGAGATGTAGTTCAGCAACATCTAGAAGGCCAAAGTTTCCCCAGACATGTTGTAGCAAAAGGAGCAGATATGCAGGGAGGCCAAAATCTTAACAGGCACTGACTCACATCACTTTCTGTATCTGGCAGTTTGGGTGCTTTAGTCCCTCAGCTAGCAGCTTCAGTCCTGAATCTCGGACTTTACTTCTTCCCAGCTCCAGCTCCAATAGTGTTGAGTTAACAGAGAGAAGAGATGCGAGGAAACCACAAGGAACAAGCTGTTCACTAAAAAACTTCACTCTGTGGAGGACAATTGGATGAAAGGGTGAAAATCTGTATATAGAAAATGATTCAGCGTATACAATAAAACAAAACAATAACAATGCTAGCATTGTATTTCCTTCCAGCCACAAAATGTCCACGTTCTCTACAATTCAACCTTTAAACATCACCTCCAATACATAGCATTTGTTGGAAGGAGACATGAGAACTATGGGTGGTAGCAGGCCTGCCAATTCACTGAACCCTCCTCCCTGGAATGAACATCCTGGGGCACAGTTACCCAAAGCAGCAGCAATGCAGGACTGCCCTGATCAGGCAAAAAGCCTTGGTGGGCCAGAAACATGGGCACAATATTGCCTGATTCTGGTGCTCAGTATTATGCTTGAGAGAGCTAGAGAGGAGCCACTGAGGATGCTTCTGTGGGTTTCTTTTCCATGCTTTGAGAGCTGCCTTTCGCTGACTGAAGAAACTGAGGACAGTGCAGAGGAACACCCACTTTGGTCCATCACACCCAGGATCAGGATCAATATTTTGCCCTTGCAAAAGGACTCTAATGAAGTTAAACGCAAACAGCTTCTTACCTCACATGCCTTAAGTTACTTTTTGGAGACTTCAGTGATTTGAAGATGGCTGGGTTTTGATACTGTTCACTAAGAGATGAAAGAAAATGTCCTTGTTAAGAAAAGGTTCGTCATATTCTTTTATTTTTATGAAGAGAATAGTGTGGTGCTTTTCAAACTTGTACTTAAATCATGACACACACATCAAATACCACTGTTGCACAACCTGCCCCACTATCAGTATCATGGTGCGAGTTGATCCAAGGAGTCAGGCCACCTCCTCCCCCAAAAAAGGAGGACTTACCAACAGGATTCCAGCTTCCCAAACAAAGGTTCTTCAGGTTTCCCAAAAATACCACAAGTCAGTCGATTCAAAAAACTGTACATAGTCCAGCTATTGCACTCTGGGTCTCTTCTAAGTCTCTGGATCCGGGCCCATAACCTATTGAAATTATTATATTATTATCCATTGGAAGTCACTGGATGAGCAAAAACTGACTCTTGTATTGAAATTAAAATTACCCAGTCCGAAAATATGGTTCAAAAAGCTTTACTCACAGAACAGTGGACCCCTACATGTTCCCGGTAAATTAGAGTATTAAAGTATTAAAGTCTGGTGCCTCCTTCCCAAAGCTTGGGAAGCTTCTGCCCAGCTTAGGGAAGGAGGTGTGATGTTCATGTGCACAATGTCCCCCACCCTCTCAAGATGGCGCCTTTGGCCCTAACTGTATCCCTACAAAAAAATTGCACTATCACAGAACTCAGCTCTCAACTTCAAACAATAAAAATTACATTCACTCAGTTGCACTGGTTCCAGCATAAGGCATGATAACTTAGATTACAAATATCTGGTCCCGACCAGAGATGAATGGCTGATGAAGATGATGGACGACACTGAAATGGTGAAAATGACCAGGAAAATCAGAAACCAGGAAGAGAGGAACTTCAATATGGAATGGGAAAAATTTACAATGTACTTAAGAGAACACTGTAAACAACTAAAAACTTTGGCAGGATTTGAGTAACGCTTGTAATGTAATAAAAACTAAGGTAGAAATGGACTGTAAGAAACAAAGAGAAAATATGTGAGGCAGTTGAAAAATATTGAAAATGGTAACCATGGAAGGGTGGAGGGGAGTCTAAGGATTCAGGGAATCCTAAATGCTGATGGTGATGTTTAATGTTTGAATTTAAATATGCAATGTAAAACTCAATAAAAAAAGATTATACAAAAACAAGTAGCTTGCATTTTGAGCTAAAATCAAAGCTCTTCTCCATTGCAACCTCTTTTTGCTGGAGATGAAGATTAACATATCCATTCTTTTCAGTAGCTCAGAAGAGGCACTACACCCAACATGGATGCCTGTCAGTTTAGATATGCATAGACATGAAATACTTTCTCTTTCATGTGACTGTATGCTGATAACTCTGTGACTGAGCCACAAAGATACAGTCCAGGTAGGCTCCTCTCTAACTTCACGAAAATTTCCTATCATGCTTCACAGTATACAATACAGAAGCATTCTCTATCTCCCATTTGGATCAACAGGCTCCAAGCACCACAAAAGTAGTGCATTATTCATCATCCTCCCGAGGAACTGGGGTGCTCACCCTGCCATGCTGCTCCCCTGTGTTTTGGGGGCCAGACTCCTTTGCATTCTTGCTTTCCTCCAAGGCCATAATCCACAATACAAGGTCATGGGAACATTTAGTTGACACAGACCCACACACTTCCCAACTCCTGCATCTGCCCTGCTGCCACAGTCAACACCTTTTGCCCACTCTAGGAATTCCTAATGCAGCAGCTGGTCAGCCAAGAGTTAAATAGGGTCTTAACTGTTTTTGGCTATTAACCAGAAATCTGTCTATCAAAAGAAGATCTGGCTGGTCAGCATCAAGAAAACACATGGTGTGTGTGTGGAGAATTTCATGAGAGTTCAAAGTCAAATGTGTGTCCTCATCAGAAACTCTGGAAAATATCAGAAAAGGGCAAAAAGTTGCTGCATGTGGTGAAATCCCGTGTGTGGAAGTGGCAGGTGCAGAGAAACTCAACATCCCTTATTTAAATCATACATACCCGTCTGAACGTGGTTCTGAATTATTAAGTTTTTCCTCTTCTTCCTCCTCCTCTTTTTCTAGTATTTCTTTGGTAAAATCATAATATCTCATAAATAACATTTCCTCCACGTGAAGGACCTCCAAAGCAGAGCAGTGCTCCAAGCAATAGGCCTGGGCCGTCACTCTCGTCTTAGTCAGGTATCTTCCGTGTACGGTAACTTCAGTCACGTGATCCAATGCACTTTCCACAAAATTTTCCTCTTGGTTCTCATACAAGCATTCAAGCCATCGGTGCTTATGCCTCTCATGTACATCCATCTTTGTTTCTGTGGTGTTTTTCACCCATTCTAATAAAACTTCTTTAATCTTAGGCAAAAATTTCCATCCGAACTGCTCTTTCATGTCCTTCATTCCCTTTCCTTCATTTACGAGGCCAAAGAGGAAGCGTACCGTTACTTCTAAATCAGGTCTGGAAACTGCGTAGCTTTCTAATAATCTGACCACATCTCGATTAGGATTTTCAGAACTCAGCCCTTCTCCTTCTTCCAGTAAGTAAGATAAGGCTGCAAAAAACTCCTGGAAGCTTAAGTGAATGAAGCTGTAGGCACGTTCACATTCGATGTTCCTTCTGAAAATACTCTTGCTCAGAAAGAGGGGGAGGGAGTCTTCCTGATCTAAGCCGAGCTCTTTGATTTCTTCCTCCCAGAACAGTATTTTTCGTTTCCAGATTCCATCTGCAGCCAGAGAACACAAACTTTTCAAGTTCTTTCTAATATGTTCCTTTGACGGGCTGTTGTGGTGCAGCTTTAGCAAGCTGGAAAGGTAAAGCATATAGACGGCAGTGAGCGTGTTGGATGTTTGCCAAAGATCCTCACTGTTTTCCATCTGTTGTACCAACACCATGCAGATAATGCAACACACAAGGGGAACCGAGCACATGGTGAAGAGGGTCTCGTTCTGTTTTACAAGACTGAAAGCTTGAGTTGCTCGGTCTTTATTCTCAAAGAATTTGTGGAAATATTTCTCTCTGTCCTCTTTTGAAAATCCCAGGATCTTGAAATGGCGACGTAATTCCTCTGAGCACTCATGGAGATACCCCAGGGCTGTTGGTCTTGTTGTTATTATCAAGTAGGATTCAGGAAGGAGTTTTTTCTTAAGTAAGCTGCCCAGGAGGACCTCCACAGGCCCCTTCTGCCAGGGATCAGTACAAAAGGGGTCTGGTTGAAGGGAGCATCTTAATTCATCAAACCCATCAATTACAAACAGCAGTTTCTTCGGATTCTCCAGCATCTTCTTAATTTCATCCTGTCGGGGCCACCGTTTTAAAATGATTTCTGCAATACTACTATCCTCATTACAGAGGTTCATCTCTCCACAATTAATGTAGAAAACAAAATCAAACATGGCCTGATAAAGTCTTCCACAGGCCCAGTCAAACATTATTTTTCTTTTTTTTTTTTTATTCTTTTTATTAACATTCCTTTATCATTACACCAACAAACTTTACAAAAAAGAACATCAAAAAGAAAAAGACAAACAACCAAGGATAAAAAACAAAAGATACCTAAAATACCGCAGAAACCGAAACCCAAATTAACAGGTGTAAAAAAGACAAAAAGAATAACAAACATTTAAGAATTTACGTACGACACTTAGTCATCTTCTACTTCCTCCCTTACTGATTTCGGGTGTACATTTTTTACACATTACGTTTTACAGCTGGTGTTAATTTTTTTTTTTGTTTACGCATCGAAAGTTTTATAGTAAACCTGCTATAGTTGGTAAATTTCTAAAATTGCTTTCTATGTATGCTGAAAATTTGATCCATTCCTCATTTAACTTTGCTTTCTTTTGATTTCTAATTCTTTGCGTCATTTTTGCCAATTCTATGAAGCCATATAGTTTCGTTTGCCAGTCCTTTACTGTTGGTAAGTTTGTATTTTTCCAATTTTGGGCAATTAGAGTTCTTGCTGCTGCTGTTGAATATTGGAATAAGGTTTTATCTATGTCCTGTATCTCATTCCCCACCATCCCTAACAAGAAGGCCTCGGGTTTTTTAGGAAAATTGTATCTGAATATTTTTTTTAATTCGTTGTGTATCTGATTCCAGAACTTTTTTACTTCCTCACATGTCCACCACATGTGGATAAAGTTGCCTTCTTTTATTTTACATTTCCAACATTCCTTATTGCCGGTCTTATACATCCTATTTAATTTTTCCGGTGTTAAATACCATCTGTATATCATTTTTTCTAGGTTTTCTCTTATTGCAGCACTTGCCGTGAACTTTATTCCCTCCCTCCAGAGTTTTGCCCATTTTTCATATTCGATGTTATGTCCTAAGTCTATCCTCCATTTAATCATGACTTCTTTAGTCTCTTCCTTCTTCATGTCCCAATCTAATAAGATGTTATACATTTTAGACACTATCTTGGTTTTATTTTCTATTATTTCAATTTGGAACCTGGATTTTTTTTCATTCATCCCTGATTTTTTGTCTTCCGTCCATAAAGCATTAATTTGGTGGTACTGTAGCCAGCCTTTCAACTTGTCCTTTAACTCCTCGTATGATTTTAATTTCCAGCTATCTTGCGATCTAATTAGTAAGTCTTCATATGTCAGTTTTTGTTCTTCCTCATTTATCCTCCTAATTGATAAGATATTTGTAGGGGATAACCACCAGGGTGTTTTCTGCTCTAACATTTTTTTGTATTTTTCCCAGACTTCGTAAAGAGAGCCTCTGATGATATGGTTTGTAAATCCTTTGTGCACCTTCCCTTTGTTTAACCAAAGGTAGGCGTGCCAGCCAAACCTGTTATCTACTCCTTCTAGATCCAATAAGTCGGTATTCTCCAGGGTTATCCAGTCTTTAACCCAACATAGACAGGCTGCTTCGTAGTAGAGTTTTAAGTTGGGAACAGCAAGTCCTCCTCTCTCCTTCTTATCCGTAAGCAATTTAAATCTAATCCTAGGCCTTCTGCCCTGCCATATGAATCTCGAAAGTATTTTTTGCCATTCCTTGAAGATTTTGGACCCCCTTATGACCGGGATGTTTTGAAATAAAAACAGCATCCTCGGTAGCACATTCATTTTTATCGCTTCCATCCTACCCAACCATGAGAGTTTAACTTTGCTCCATACATCCAGATCTTTTTTAACTTTATTCCAGGTTGGTGAGTAATTATCTTCAATTAAATTTATAGTTTTTGATGTAAGCCAGATTCCTAGGTATTTTACTTTATTTGCTACCTTAATTCCAGATTCCCTTTCTAATTTCTCCTTTTCATCAGTATCCAAATTCTTTGTCAGCATCTTTGTTTTGGCTTTATTTAATTTAAAACCCGAATGCTTTCCATATTCTTCTACTACCTCCAGGGCTTTATTAAGGCTCTCTTGCGGTTCTCCCAAAGATAATATCAGGTCGTCCGCGTATGCTTTTAATTTGTACTCTTTTTGGCCCACTTTGATCCCTTGTATCTCAGGCTTAGATCTTATTTTGTTTGCCAGGATTTCTAGAACCATTATAAATAAAAGTGGGGGGAGAGGACAGCCCTGCCTCGTTCCTTTCTCAATTTTAAATCTACTTGTAAGGTTGTTATTTATAACCAGTTTGGCAAATTGGTTTGAATATATCGCCTGGATTCCTTTCAGGAACTCGCCCTCTATCCCTGCTTTTTCCATGGTTTTTAGCAAGAACGACCAGGATACATTGTCAAACGCTTTTTCTGCGTCTATAAAAATTAAGGCAGCCGGTATCTCATTTTTAGTCTCTAGGTATTCTAATAGATCTATCACATGCCTCACGTTATCTTTCAGGAATCTATTGGGTAGAAATCCCGCTTGATCTATATGAATTAGAGTTGCTAGATACTTTTTCAATCTGTTAGCCATGATGTCAGCGTAGATTTTATAATCGTTATTTAACAGGGATATTGGCCTATAGTTCTTGATGTTCAATTTATCTGTATCTGGTTTGGGGATTAACGTTATGAAGGCTTCTCTCCAGGATTCGGGTATTTTCCCTCCTCTCAAGATGTTATTCATAGTATCACATAACGTGTTCGAGAGTTGATTCCCCAATACTTTATAATATTTAGCCGGTAAACCGTCCGGTCCTGGTGCTTTCCCCAATTTCATTTTTTTCATCGCATTTCGGACCTCCTCTAAACTTATGGGTCTATTTAGCTGGTGTTTTTCTTCTTCTGTTATAGTCCTCCCTTCACAGTTTTCTAAGTATCTTTCTATTTGGATTGGGTCTTCTTTTCCTTTTTTATATAGCATCTCATAAAAATTGAGGAAGTTTTTTTGTATTCTTTGTGGGTCTACTATCAAATCGTCCCCTACCCTTATCTTATTTATCACATTCTGTTTTTGTTTTTTCCTTAATTGCCAGGCTAGAAATTTCCCAATCTTGTTCGCTGACTCAAAATATCTTTGCCTCATTATTTTAATTTTATTTTCAATCTCCTGGTTAGTTAGCATTGAGTATTGTGTTTGCAGAAATTTTACTGTTTGTAAGCTTTGCTCGTCTTTTGGGTTTATAATTAGTTTTTTCTCATTCTCCTTTATCTGCTTCAAAATTTCTTCCTTCTTTTGCTGTCTTATTTTTTTCTTATAGTTATTTTGCTGGATGAAAAGGCCTCTTAATACCGCTTTGCTGGCATCCCACACCACTTCTATATTTACTCCGATGTTGAGGTTAAGGTCAAAGTACTCTTTCAAGGTGGTTTTGGCTTTCTCAACAACCTCATCATCATCTAATAGCCATTCATTCAATCTCCATCTGAAACCTCCCTGGGTTGTCCCTTTTATTTCTAATGTTAACGAGTTGTGGTCTGAAAAGGTCCTTGGTTGTATCTCACATTTTATAATCTTTAATGAAAGGATCCTTGAAATCCATATTTGATCTAATCTGCTCCAACTTTTATGTACTTCAGAGAAAAAAGTGAACTGTTTATCTATTGGATGCTTGTACCTCCACGCGTCTATTAGATCCATATTTTCTTCTAGCTCTTGGAATGAATTTGGTAACTTCCCTTGTTTGTGTTTTCCCTTATCCGTTTGTCTGTCCATTTCCAGTATCGGGACAGCATTAAAGTCTCCCAATAGTATCATCTTGTTATTTTCAAGTTCTAACAGCACTTGTTCCAGTTTTTTAAAAAATTCTGCTCTGTTTGAATTTGGAGCATAGATATTTATCACGTTGACTTTTTCCCCCTGAAAGTTTATTTGGACCCCCAGTATTCTCCCATCATCGTCTTTATATATCAATTTGGGTTCCCATTTTTCATTGACATACATTACTAATCCTTTTTTCTTCTCACTCGTGGAGTTTATAAATTCTGTTCCTAGGTTCTTATTTACTAGTACATGCTTATGCTTTCTGGCTACGTGAGTCTCTTGCATACAGATTACATCCAGTTTTTTCTTTTTCAGCACATTTGCAATTTTATTCCTTTTAGCTTTTTCATTCATACCATTTACATTCCATGTTAAAATTTTAAGGTTCATTAGTCTGTCAGTAAGTTATCCGTTAAAGTTTTAGCTGGTTTAAATTCGGGTGAGTCTTTCCTCTGTTTCTTCCTCTTCCTCACCCCCTTCCTCCTCTTCTTCCTCTTCCCCTTTGTCTCTCTCCTCCCCCTCCTCCCCCCTCTCCCCCCCCATGCCCCCCTTCCCGCCCCCTCCCCCGTCTCTCCAAAATCCTTTTCATATCTGCGTAGAAATTTGCCGACTTCCTGGCTTTCTGTAATCTTAAATCTTAAATTATTTTTCTTGCCGTTGTTGTTTTCCCGGTCCCTGCAGCTCCCTGCAGTACAACGATTTGTGGAACCAGTCCATTTCTATCAGGATTAAATAGCTTTTCAGTGGTATACTCTGTTTGAAGGCTACAATAGTCCATGTAAGTGTCTCGAAAATATACCCATCCTAAAGCCATGATTTCATGTTCTTCCTCCTGCTTTCTGGGACTCTCAATATCAAAGGTTAGCTTTGAATACTGGCAGCTTCGAAGCAGATTTTCACCAAGGGAAGGGTGGACTTTTATTGACTGAAATTTGCCCTTTATGTAGTCTCTGTAGGTTAACCTAGAACCTAAGAAAAGGACATGTGCTAGCAGAAGTATTGAGAAAGCACCTAATATTTTTTGTTAGGAATTCCATCTCTTGTCTTCAAATGAGAAAGATCAGTAAATATAAAAAGCTGTTCTAGCCTGTACATGAACTACACAGACATATATAATCCCATCCCAATCAAATGTGGAGATGTAAAATGCTGTGGCTCCACTGTTTATGGGGGACAGACTACTGCTAGAATGTAAGTCCAGTGCTTAAAAGCTTGCACTGACTGCCCATATGATACTGAGCCAAGTTTAAGCTTCTTGTATTAACTTACAAGGCCCTTAACAACTTGAGTCCAAGGTACCTTAAGGGCTGCCCAAGTCCTTATACCCCTGCCTGATAATGGAGTTCTTCAGGTGAGTCCCCGTTAGCAGTTCCACCAGGATCCGATGAATTTGCTTACTGGAGATCCTCTTTAACATGAACAAGAAAAGAAAAGAAAAGAAAAGAAAAGAAAAGAAAAGAAAAGAAAAGAAAAGAAAAGAAAAGAAAAAGAGAATCTCCAGCAATATGCTACGATTTCTTACCTTTCCGTGTTGCTTCATTGAGATTTGCAGCAATGTCTTCCTTGCCAATATGTTCAAGGACACATATGCATACTTTTACTGCATTGGCCTCACCATAGAAGTCACACATGAGATGAATAACATCGGATCTATCAGCACTGTCCAGCTGAACTTTGGGGATTTCCCCCTTTCCATCATGGTCAATGTCTTGTAGCTTCCGTTTAAAAATGTTAAACTGGTCTTCAAGGAGTTCTTCCAAGGCATCATAGAGGGTTTGGCTTAAGGTTTCATTCCTACCCATCGCTAGATCTGGGGGAGCCATTGTGGGTTTGCTTGTTAGAGGCTGGAGCAGAGCTTTGGCGATCTCATAAAAGGACTCTGTTCTCAGATCTAGGGCCACACAAAGCGACAGAAAAAGATGAAAAGCTGTTTCTAAGTATTGTGAAAAGCAAGCTAAAGAGATCATAAAGTTGGAAGGAACCCCAAGGATGATCTAGGCCAACCCCTGCAATTCAGGTGTCCCTTACGGGGATCGAACCTGCAACCCTAGTGTTATCGGCACCATGCTCTAATCAACTGAAATATCACCATGGGTGTAGCCGGGGGGGCAGGGAGGGGCAACTGCCCCCGTTAAAATGATAAAATTCAATAAAAATATATAGTAAGATTCTGCCCCCAACAAAAGGTCTACCTTGCCTAACAAAAGGCCTGCCCCCCCCAAACAATAATCCTGGCTACGCCCATGGCTATCCCCATGGAACAGTCCAATAAATTACCTAGCATGTTCCCATAACATAATTCTAGATTACTTCATTTTCATCTGCAGTGATCAGGCCTTGAAGATTGCTGAGAAGCTTCCATTAGAACAGAAATATTCATTAGTAAGGCCATTATGTTATTAACCAAGACCAATAGGATTCACCATATGTCACCAGCGCCTAACAAATCTGCAGTGCTTACTCAAAATAAATGCAATTACTGGACAAATTTAAAACATTTTGGTATTACAAAGCTTAGGCGCAACAAGTTAAAATGTCTTCTTTCCTTAGGCTTCCAGTGGCATTTATTTGATTTGACTGACTGTTGTGGGTTGGTTCTTATTTTAGTTGTGGAATTATTTGCAGTGACTCTCAGTCATGTTGTTATCCCCCTTGGAGACCTGCCTTGGGTAGAAAGAGAGGATGTAAATATTTAAATTAAATTAATTGTGATAAACTAAAACCTGTTATCTGGAAATTGGAAAGCAGGTTCTGAAATCTTTCTTAGTCAGTCATCAGTGTTAATGACACACACATTTATTACATTAGATACTTTTTTCAGTATTTCAGATGAAGGCTAAAACAAAGTAATTATTATATCAACATGCCCTGAGCATGCTGTGTAGAGTGTCTTCCCTGCAATACTCCTAAGAAAAGAAACACCGGCTGACTCTCCTGCTGCATACAGAAAGCAAGCATGTAAACAAGCCAGCACATCTTAAACATGGGGCAATTTGGTTTTTATAAAACCATTTTATCCCACTCCCCCCACCTCAGTTTTTTGAAACATTCAAAGAAGATTAACAGAAATAAAAAGAAAATGCATGTTTGTAAAAGAAAAAAAAATCAATTAAGAGAAATAACTAAAACAAATGTGGGGATTTATTTATTTTTTAAGGAGATTAGCAGGAAGTATTTTTCAACACTGTAACTGAGCCCTGGCATAGGTTTTAGAAGCAGGTTTTCCCACCTCACAAATTTCCCTTCAGACATATTATGAAAGAGAGAAATAACCCCAAAAGGATACAAAGCTTGCTTTGCACCTTTCTCACACCTTGTGTCAGTTGTGGTTTCTCCACAGTAGTCAGTCAGTAGTTCTTATCTGCTATACAGGATGATTATTTTATGGATCTGCTTTTAGTTCAGCAACAGCTGCAAGAAGAAGGGCGCTTTCAGGGCGTTAAGAAGCTGATGAAGCGTTACCTGCCCAAAGATGAAAGAGGATATTCCCGCCCAAAAGAAATTGGTGTTTCAATACGGCTTCGGCAGTTTAAACATGACAACTGAACGCATTGTGCCCCTGACACTGCCTATTATTTAAGTGCTTAATAAACACGCGCGTCTAACGCCGAACATCTTCATCTTTCCAAACCGCACAGCTTGCGTCCCGCTACATGCTCAGAAAAGCAGCAAAAACCTTGCCCTGGGATATCACGTGGTGCACTAATGACGCAACAGGTCTCTGAGAACACGCAGAGTGCCTTTCGCACATCGCAGCTTCCCCCTCAGATCGAGGAGGGGAGAGAATCGTGGCCCCTCTCGCCTCCACCCCACGCCCCTTTTTCCAGGCTGCGACGTGAGAAGGGAAGAGCCCAGACTCGGGAGATCTGAGCCGCGAGGCCGGTTCAGACGACAGCGGGGGAAAGGCCCAGCGGAGGGAAGGGCGGAAAAAGCAGGCGCGGCCACTCGGGCGCATCTCACCGCTCGGCTTCTCGCTGCTCCAGCGCCCATCTCTCCTCGCGGTGCCGCCAGTGTTTTTTCTGGACTTTTAAGGGAGTCAGGCGCGTCACTTTCCCATAAACGCGAAAGGCACGCACAGCGCTGGTGACGCAGCAGGCAACGGCCTTGCCTCTCAGGTTGCTGCGCTCCTGATCCAGAGCCTCTCTTCGCCCAAACACTCGCCTGTGATTTGCAGGATCTCAGTTGCTTGCATGCATAGTCTCTGTGCGGCACCGTCGCTTAAAGGTCTCACAAATTAGACTTCAGTACACAGCTGATGTAATTTTTTTGTCTGAACTGGGTATTTGCAAAGATGAATTGCCCCCTCTCACTGAAACACACACTCCCAAGTCTGCCCCATTTAAGCCTGCTCCGTTTAGGTCAAGAGTCACTATACTGTACTTCAAGGTTAAGAGTACCGCAACGCACTGCGGGGGGTGGGTTCCCTTGCAGCTTGCCTGGAAGCTGTAGTTAGTGTAGAATGACTGCTGATAGGAAAGAGATCCTGCCACCAAATCATACCTCTGCTCAAAGACCTGCACTGGCTGCCAAGTTCAAGGTCTTACTATTCTATAGAAAGCTCTTTAAGAGCTTGAGACCAGTTTACCTTAGGGATTCCCCACCACATGTGCCTACCTGACCATTTTGCTGTGCGGACCTTGCACTCCTGCAATGACCATAGGATGTTCACTCCACATCTGAAAGAAGTTGAGCTTTCAGTGTGGCAGCACCTCTGGGATTCCTTGCATTATACAGTATTAAAGTTATGTTTAATGTAAATAAACTGCTGCATTTTTAGTTTGCATTGTAAAGAAAGCTTCTGTATTTTTCCATGAAGCATGGTGTTTTTTCATACAAATTACGATTTGAAGCACAAGGCAATAAGTTGGCTGTAAAAGAGTTTTACTACTGTTTACATGTGCAGCTAACAAAGAGGTATTGGCTCAGAGAAACACACAGAATAGCAGGTAGGCAGCTCTCTTGTTGGGTGTTGGCCAGCATGTAGCAGAAGAAAGAGAGTGAAGCAATACTTTGATTTTTATCTGGAAAAGTTATATTTTCTTCTGCAAAGATGTTTGGAAACATCACACTGGGACCAGTGGGCTATTAGAGTACGAGTTGTTTGTCCAAACCACATTTTTAGCAGCAATGATTGAAAAAGATACATAAATATACAGGAACCAAGTGAAAGAAGATGACATTGTTGTTTTCTTTGTAAAGACAGAATAACTGGGTCAGGCACAGGATTTTATGATTCTAGCAGAAATAGCAAACACAGAAGATAGAATGCTAACCCATCACTTACACCAGTTTCTGTGTCTTGCACTCTGGGTGTTTCACTCCCTCAGCCAGCAGCCTCATTCCTGACTCTCTCAGCAGGTTAATTCCCAGGTCCAGCTCAGATAGTGATGGGTAGGTGGGAAGAACAGATGAGAGATGCCAACCACCAATAGCATGGAGCTAAGTATGACGCAACCTGAGGGGGACAACCACATTTAGAGGCAAGGATAACAGCATGCATGGTCTATCAAAATGATCAAGGGACTTCAGCAACTCCTAAGAAGAAAGGTTACAACATTTGGAGCTTTCTAGTTTAGAAAACAGGCAAGAAACCAGGGGCATAATAGAGGCGGGTTATGAATGGTGTAGAGCAGCGGTAGGCAACCTAAGGTCCGGGGGCCGGATCCAGCCCAATTGCCTTCTCAATCCGGCTCGTGGACGATCCGGAAATCAGCGTGTTTTTACATGAGTAGAATGTGTGCTTTTATTTAAAATGCATCTCTGGGTTATTTGTGGGGCCCAATGACCACTGTGTTCTTACTTCTTCAGAGTAAGAGCAAAGAGAAGGTGTAACAAAGTAAAGTCATTACCACTGAATTCCTAACATACTGCTACAAGCTCTGTAAAATATAAATCCTTGATTATTATTTTTAAGTGAAAATACACACAGCGCGCGCGCACACACTTCCTAAGTCATCTTAAAATGCATATGGACTTTCTTCTTTAAAATGACTATGCTTTGGGAGCCCTTGTATCACAGTATGCCCTCAACTTTTCTGGTGGTTACTTTCCATGGATCACACCTAAAGCCAATATTTTGTATAGTAAAACACATTGGGTTCAAGGGCAGGCGGGATTGCCAAAGTCTTTTTTCCTGGGTGCCTGCCCCCTTTTAAATTTCTGTGTTGTTGTTTTTTAAAAGGCAAGCATGTAAAGAAGAATGTGTACCAATTAAAGATGCATAAGTTGCAGGTTTACTGTGTATTCCATTGCCCTTAAACATTTTCCAAGCCTATGGTTTTAAAAGTAGTCCAGGAAGAGAGACCCCTAAAAATTGGCATCACATCACTAGAGGCACCACAGAAACTGATCTACCAGACAGAATAGACAAGATGTTTGCTGGACTCACCTTCCTGGAGGCAAATAGTGCGCTGCAGGCACAAAAGAATGACATTCATTTTCAAAACGAAAATAGGCAAGGTGAGGTGACTGCCTCAGGTGGCGGGATCCACAGGGGCAGCAGATCCCAAGGTAGATCTTGATGGTACCAGAAGATTTATCCAGAAAGACCCAGGTTCCTCCCCCCCCCCTAAATCTCACACACCAAAAAACCATGTGAACTGTAGTTTGTTGTGGGTGCTGGGAACAATGTACAATACATACAATATATGGGAGTAGTAAACTACAGTTCCCAGGACCCGGAAGGATGTGCTTCAAATGTATAGTCTGTAGGCAGCCCCAGGTGTGAAGGGAATGAATCTTTTATTTCACGGGAATTTCCCTGCTCTGGAACTCCTGGTTTCCTTGCCTTTTGCTGTGTTTTTTCGCTCTTTATTGTTTGCTGAGCTTCTCCCTTGATCTCTTTGCTGACTGACTCGCAGGACACCAAGCGGGAAATTTCCTCTCCGTGCGAAAAAGTGATTAACCAGATAATTAAATCTTTTTCGGCGCAATCTGTGTACCCTGCTATGTTTCCCTTGCTCAGATTACGATATTATAGGACACACGCGAAGTTAATTATCTCCGGCTGGAAGTTGTTATTGCTTTTTTAAAAGTTAAACGTATTTCCTTCTCCTCCCTCCTGGGCTTCCAGGATCCCTCTTCTGCGATCTCCCCGCCCCCGTCGTCCTCCGGCGGCTCCACCTCCAGCAGCAATCCGGAGGACTGTCCGGCTCTCAGCGACCTGATTCAAGGCAAGACCCAACCATTGTCATCCGTTCCCTCTTTGCCTGTACTGTAGTATGAACTGGCCTCCAGTTCACCACGTCTTTTAGGCGCGGTAAGTGCCATTGATCCAAGTGGGGCTTACTCCAAGGCAAGTGAGCTTGCACTTACCTGGGACTAGTCAGCCCGATCTGACTCAATGGCACTTACTTCTGAATAGACATTTATGGAATTGCTTAACACCTCCATTAAGGTGGTTAAATGACTATGTCGCGTGTGCGTGTTTTGCTCGATCCTCAGCGCGGACGAGCAGAGGGAGCTTTTTTGCAGGAAAATCGCCAGGAAAGTGTTGTTATTATACCTGTTGAGCGAGAGAAGCGGAGTTTCCCCAAACTGCCAGCATGGCAGTGGAGAGAGGGGAAGCAGCTTTTCAATAACAATCGCTGCAAACCTTGTGACATTTGAGATGGGAGGTTTGTTTTTGTAAGAAACTAACCTTGCTCCCGCCTTTCACTGTGTGTAGCCAATGAATGAAGTCGTAACAATGAGAAATCGGAGCTAGCCAATTAACAAAAGAAAGGTGGAGTAGAAACTTCCTGGTTAATTTTTTGAGCGCCCCCCCCTCCCGCTCGCTGACCTTTTGGAGTGAGTGTTTCTCGACAGGGGAGTGATTGCTGTTCCATGGGGGAAAGTCAGAAATACCGTAGATTGTAGCTGTGATTGAGCTTTCAACCTCTGGGCTTATTTTCCATACATGTGATTTTCTTCTTGTAAAATTGCCGTGCTAATACAGGGTGAGTCTTTTAAAAGAGGCCCCGTGGAACATGTGTATTCTGTATCCACGGGGCCTCTTTTAAAGGACTCACCCTGTAATAACAAAGATAATATTGCTGAGACAACAGAGAGTACACTAGCCTTAAGAAACAGACCAGTGATATACCCATTCTGCTGGTGCTGCAGTAGAGAGTGGCAGCCCTGCAATGTACTCTTCCCACGTTTTCTTCTGTTTTTAAAAGGGGAAATGTGAGGGGACTGTGGTGTTACTTGGAGCAGCAGTGCAATGAATTGAGCGTGTGCAGGGCAAAGGGAGTCAGGGGGAAAACTGAAGCGTTTCAGTTGTGGAAAAATATTGTCAAAACAGCAAGTCTGCAATGATCAGTAAATCAGCCCATCGAAAAATAACAGAATGGGAGAACTATGGTATATTAGTTCCTCAAATGCAGTTACTACTCAGCTTAGTAGACGTGGTCCCCAGGCCTCACCACCACTCAGTCACCAGATCTACCAGAAATGATAGACCTGTCCTTTGGCACTAGTTATGGATCTATGTACATTTTGTACTTTGCTGCATCTCTCCTGGAAAAAATCCTGCAGATGCCCCGAGTTCTTACATGGTCAGACTGCTGCAATGGAACATATCTTGTTGCAAATATGACTCTTAAAAACAGGTTTTTGCATTAGCATCCAGTCTTTGAAAATTTTCATATGTGCATGAGCAGGAATCTTTTTTTTCTGACCTATGGAAAGTGAGGGAAAGATCAGTCCTCTCCTTTTGGTTTCATCTTTGTAAGAGAGAATCTTGCCAGTTAAAGGAGGGAGGACATTCAAGTCCTTGGGCACGACCAAGGTTCCTGTGGCTGAGTGGGAGACTGAGACTGGAGTCGCAGGGTGTTCTCTGAGCAAGTTCCCTCCTTCCGTGGACAGCCAGATGCCAAAGAGGCCAGGATTCCTCTCTCTGTTAAAACTGCATAGAAGAGAGAATTTGAGCAGGTCCATCTTGTCCTGAAGGGATGAGAAGAGTTCCAGTTTTCAAAATTATTATCAGAGACAATCCCTGTCTTCCTCTCTGCCTGGTCAGCCTAAGCACAGCAACACAATGTTTCCACTTCCTTATAAGAACATTTTCCACACCTCCATCCAGCTCCGAGCTTACATTTCATTTTGCGTGCCTTAGTGCTGAGTATTGTGATTACACGCGTAACATTTCTCATCTGATGAAATATTCACTGTGTGCCATCACATTGTTTTCAGCTGCCTGTGGTATGTTGCCATGGCAGAGGAAGATCCTGCTGTGTTCACCTCTGGCACTTTGCCCTCTGACCCCCGTCTCCTTGCCACGGTGACCAACGCCTACCTGGGCACTCGTGTCTACAGGGACATCTTGCATGTAAACGGGGTGTATAATGGAGCAGTTGGGGACTGTCATCGTGCTGATGTTCCCAGCCCTATTAATGTCAAAATGAGTGTGGCTGCTGAGGACAGCCTGACCGAGACTTTCTCATTAGACACCAGGACAGGTAAGTGTCAACAGTGTTGTTGCCCTTCGTTTCTTGCTTTTCATTGCAAATACAGCAATGCCACAATGATGGGGCTACATTATTTAGCTTGCACTGAGCATGGGCATTGTTTTAAAAGGAAGCTCTTACTTTTAAAGAGACAAAGGTGAACATTGAATAGAGTGTGCTGCTATTGGGCTCAGGATGTTCTAGATTCAAATTCCCACTTAGCACAAAGTTCACTAAGTTTTTGGGAGCTAATTGTACTCTATCAACCAGTTTTGAAATAAAGCTTAAATGGAATCCAAAGTATACCACTCCAGAGGAAACTTAGGATTCAAATGTAATCAATTTTTCCAGTACAACATGTTTAAGATCTGGAGGTTTTTCTGTCTTCTTGTGCTACTAGACCAGTGTTTCCCAACCACTGTTCCGCGGCACACTAGTGTGCCGCGAGATGTTGCCTGGTGTGCCGCGGGAAAAAATAAAAAATTGAAAGATTTTTTTTTTAAAGTCAAATTTTTGATTGGGGTGCCGTCACTAGATGACCCCTGGGGTTCCCTCCCTCCCTCCCGCTCTGCGCCTCCCTCCTCCTCCTCCTCCGGGGAGGCCCTTCCTGGCTCTCGGCCAAGGCTTGGCGGCTGCCACTCACTCACTCGCTCGCCCACCCGTCCCTCCATCCCTGCACCCGGCCTCTCCCCCTCCGTCCCCGGCGCGGGGGCTGCCGGGATCCGTAGTCGCCTCGCCCTTGGGCTCCGCGCCCGCGCGGGGTGCGTGAACTACGTTTCCCAGCGTGGCCTGGCGGGCCGGGCGTTTTGTTTGAAGCGCTCTTCTCCCGGCCATGGAATGAGCGCAGCGGCGGCGGCCGGGCGGGCAGGGGCTCTTCCGCGCAGACCCCGCGCAGCCTGCCTGCGCCCCCCGGAGATCGGGCGGCAGGATGGAGCCCGGGGATCCCCGCGGAGGCGGAGCGGCGGAGGCGGAGGCTGCCCCCCAGGTAGGGCTGCGTCGGGGTTTTTTTATTTTTGCAATGCTGCATCCGCGCTGGAGGGGACGCATCGGACCGCGGGGAGACCCCTTGGCGGGCGTGCAAAGCAATGCATGCGTGCAGGCGTTGCATGGAGTGCAGTGCAATGCAATGGCAACGCGGCGCCCTGCATGCATGCATGCAACTTCCACCGGCGCTCCGGACTTGGCAGGTGAGGGGGGTCCCCAGTGGGCGGCAGAGAGAGCCGGGAGGGCGAAGGGGAGCCGGGGGGGAGCAGCGCTGCTCCCCGAGCCGAGCCCGGGGGAAAACTTCGGCGTCGTTGCGCCGGGTGTTGGAAGCGGAGGCTGGCGGGGGCCCGTCACCTGCAAAACCTGGTCGCCTCTCATATATTTCGTGCATTGCATTCATCGCCCGCTTTCTCCTCCAAGGAGCTCCCGGGGGCGCGCGTGGTTCTCCCCGTGTTATCCTCGCAACAACAGCCCTGCGAGGTGGGTCAGGCGAGTGGCCCAAGGGAGCACCCAGGGATTGTCCTGGCCAGGTGGGGTGATTTGAACCCTGCTCTCTGCCCGGTCTTTGTCCTCATTTAGCCCCCACATGTGCATGACTGTGCATGACTGAGGTTTTCCCCCCTCGTCTTGGCTATGGTGTGAGTCTGTGCTGTTAATTAATGGGGTTCTGCCTTCGGAGAAGATGAGCCAGCCCTCAAGGAGGTGATTATGTAATTTGCTAGCAATTCATGTCCCTCCCGGCGTGACGCTGCGCGCTGACGTCACGGGGCTGTAATGGTGGTGTGCCTCGAGATTTTTTTCATGAAACAAGTGTGCCTTTGCCCAAAAAAGGTTGGGAAACACTGTACTAGACAATTCTTTCAATTCCATAGGGTGCCTGATACAATTCTTATTTCAGTAAATAACAAAACAAAGGTTTTTTTTAAGCCTCATTATTTGTCCAAGTATATCATTTTAGTGTTGTAGATTGTGTTTAGATGTTCTTGTCCCAAAAGTGAACTTTGAACCAGACAGACCTTGTGTGAAATTTGTGTTGTTAGGCTTTCTTTAGAACGTAAATAAAAGTGTAAGAATCTGAATTCACATGGATCATTTTCTTTCCTTTTTCCTGCAGGGACCTATATCCACACAATCCAGGCTCCAGGTTATACAGCCATTCACAGGATCTATGCCCACCAATCCCTTGTTCACCTTCTGGCCTTCAGCATAACCATCCAGAGGTCAACGCTTGAAGGCGAACCCATTATTGTGAATCTACAGACCCAATTCACACCTGAGAGTCCAGACCTGGACTTGCACAGAGGGGCAGATTTCCAGGGAGCTCAGTGAGTATCATTATGAGAAGATTTGGTCAGATTTGTGTTGTCCTTCTTCCCGTGAGATTTAAAGACAGCGGCAGAAAGAGCTGAGTACTTCCTGTGGTTTGGAGGAGAGGCCATAGCTCAGTGGTAGTGCATATATTTTGCATGCAGAAGGTCCAGGTTCAGTCTCTGGCATCTCCAGGGAGTCCTTGGAAAGACTCCTGCCTGAAACAATGCCAAACTAGATGGAACAATGACCTGAGTTCCTGAAGGCAACTTCTTATGTCCCTGTGTTTGAATACAGGCAAGCCCAAGGAACAGCAGCAGCCCCATTCAGAAGATGTTGGCAGATTAATGGGGGATATACCATGTATATCTTGATATCATAGAATCATAGAGTTGGAAGAGACCACAAGGGCCATCGAGTCCAACCCCCTGCCAAGCAGGAAACACCATCAGAGCACTCCTGACATATGGTTGTCAAGCCTCTGCTTAAAGACCTCCAAAGAAGAAGACTCCACCACACTCCTTGGCAGCAAATTCCACTGTCGAACAGCTCTTACTGTCAGGAAGTTCTTCCTAATGTTTAGGTGGAATCTTCTTTCTTGTAGTTTGGATCCATTGCTCCGTGTCCGCTTCTCTGGAGCAGCAGAAAACAACCTTTCTCCCTCCTCTATATGACATCCTTTTATATACTTGAACATGGCTATCATATCACCCCTTAACCTCCTCTTCTCCAGGCTAAACATGCCCAGCTCCCTTAGCCGTTCCTCATAAGGCATCGTTTCCAGGCCTTTGACCATTTTGGTTGCCCTCCTCTGGACACGTTCCAGTTTGTCAGTGTCCTTCTTGAACTGTGGTGCCCAGAACTGGACACAGTACTCCAGGTGAGGTCTGACCAGAGCAGAATACAGTGGCACTATTACTTCCCTTGATCTAGATGCTATACTCCTATTGATGCAGCCCAGAATTGCATTGGCTTTTTTAGCTGCCGCGTCACACTGTTGGCTCATGTCAAGTTTGTGGTCAACCAAGACTCCTAGATCCTTTTCACATGTACTGCTCTCAAGCCAGGTGTCCCCATCTTGTATTTGTGCCTCTCATTTTTTTTGCCCAAGTGCAATATCTTTTTTATGTTCCCAGGATGAGAGTTGTAGTTCGAAATATGAGAGTTGAAGTCCAAAATATCTGAGCTACCCTTGAGGCAGAGCAAAGATATGGAGAGTTTGAAAAGCAAGGAGGACAAAGATTTTGCGCAGGATGTGGATGGGAGATAGGATACCAGTGGTAGGATTAATGGTAGAGTTAGAGATGGTGTTTGAATTCCTTGTGTAATTCTCTGATCTGATAAAAGAATCATAAGGTCTTCCTTCCTGCAGCTTTTCTCTCCCTCTCTCCTCTAGCTACATCTATGGAAAGACTTTGGTCCCTGAGGTGGAGAGTGGTCCTCAGCCTACTGTACACATGATCTGGACCCCAGTGCTACAAGCAGTGACCCTCCCTGAGGAGGAGAAGGAAAAAACCTGGGAGTTCCTCACAGCCGTGGCAGAGAGTGAAGAGGACGTGAAAAGGAGCTTTAGTGAAGGAATGTCACTGATTGTCTCTCGTTCTTTGTATGTGTCTCATGTCCAGGCATGGACAGCCCTCTGGAAAGGATGCTGTGTGGAAGTTGAGGGACCTCTTTCACTGAGCCAGGCTGTTTATGGATGCCTCTATTACCTGCTGAGTGCAATTCCTCCCCTGGGATCTTCTGACTTCCCATTCTCCGGAATTAGCCCTGGAGGCCTTTCTAATGGCACCTCGGGTGAAGATTACTGGGGCCATGTCTTCTGGGACCAGGTGATCCAAAAGGCACTACTGTGTCTCCAGTTTCCCATCTCTGTACAGAAATCAGGAGATGCCAGTAGGGAAGACATAGCCCCGAACTGAGCTTCTTCTTTGGTTGCTTGGGCAAATATTGGCTTTCCAGAGTACAGTGGTACCTCGGGTTACATACGCTTCAGGTTACAGACTCCGCTAACCCCGAAATAGTGCTTCAGGTTAAGAACTTTGCTTCAGGATGAGAACAGAAATCGTGCTCCGGTGATGCGGCGGCAGTGGGAGGCCCCATTAGCTAAAGTGGTGCTTCAGGTTAACAACAGTTTCAGGTTAAGTACAGACCTCCGGAATGAATTAAGTACTTACCCAAGGTACCACTGTATATAATTTTGAGAGATAAAGAACAGGAGGTGGCATGAATTCCACAGAATTTTCTCTCTGTGTGCTATATTATTTAAGTTTTGTGTAACCAGCTCCAGAATGAAGTATTGTCTTGTTATATACACAGCTTGTGGTGAGTGATCATGAAAGACTTGTTCAAAATCAAGGAAATTGAGTCGGACTATAAGTCTTATCTAACTCAGCAGTGGCGTAGCGTGGGGGGTGCAGGGGGGGCCGGCCGCACCGGGCGCAACATCTGGGGTTAGGGCAAATCCACAGGTTAGGGGGCGCAAATCCACGGGTTAGGGGGCGCAAATTACTTGCCTTGCCCTGGGTGCTGACAACCCACGCTACGCCACTGTAACCCAGTGCCTCCAAGATGTTAGGCAGAGAGATTTTTCCAGTCCTATAGACTGAGATCTTTTAAACTAAAGATGCCAGAAAATGAAACTAGAACTATAGGTTGGAGAAATTTAAAGGGGTTCCTAGACTGGAGGTAACCCTTCAAGAAAACCAACGAAAAAGGACATAGACTTCGAGTAAAAAGATTGGCCTTTATTAAAACGGATGTAGGGGTCAGCCTTTCACAAATCCCAGAGAGGTTACCTGTTTTTAGCTCTTGAACACCATCTTGTATACACCCCCACTGAACTGACATGTATTCACTACCTAACCAATCATGTAACCTTTCCCATGACAGTCATAACCCACTCGTACTATACGGAACCAATCAGAAAGCCATAACTGCAATTCAGGGTGTATTTTTTTTAAGCCATGGAAGGGAAAATCTGTAGCATATACCTCTCTAAAAAGTCAGACATGGGCACTATCCCCTAATCCAGGGGTAAGGAACCTGTGGCTCTCTAGACGCTGTAAGAGAGCATCTTATGTATCCTACATCATTAAAAGCTTCAGGAAGAATCAACATACAGATTTTATGACCAGGTTAGTGGTGGTGAGCTAGAAGGAATATGAGCTTGTCCATCTAATAACAATGTGTGATGTTGTCGTTAAACTCAGGATACCTGGATGTACCCAAACATCTTGCTTTTCTATCCGGAAGCAGCTTGTGCTATCCTGAAATACCGGATTCGAACGCTAGGAGGAGCTCTGTGCAACGCACAGGAGCAAGGATACAAGGTAGGAGCAACAGGAACAGAATGGGGACCTTACCTGACAAAGGGATTGCTCAGGTAAGAGAGAGGGAGAGAGATTGATCCATGAGGGTGCATGCACTCTTATTTTTTCCGCTCATCATATTTGTTAATATCCCACTGCTTCCCATCCACACTGCACAATGCAGCTATAATCCTGGGTATGGCGTTTTGTTCCCATGGGAAGAGGAATGATTAGTAAACCACTCTGGGAATTGTGGCTCTTTGCTAAAGTTCCCAGGGCTCTTTGGGAGAAGCCATGACTGTGGTACGATTCTGATTTAAATGTATAGTGCAGATGGGACCATTCTGATTTGTTTCAAATGGATTATACAAAGCAGGTCACGATCAGTCTCTAGTATGCATGACTTTCAACAGTGGCTAAAGTGCAAGGCTGTCCTGGGTTTGAAATCACCCACAGAAATAGAGAATCACCATTTGAATTATCATCTCTTTTGAGTGTTACTCGATTTGATTGTGGCAGGGTGCAAAGTTCCCCTGGGAGAGTGCAGCAACAGGCCGAGAGGTCTGCCCTGAGGAGGTTTATGGAAACGAGGAAATCCACATCAATGGAGATGTTTTGCTAGCATTTGAGCAGTATTACTACTTCACTCAGGTAAGTGTTGGGCATATTGTATGGCATTGCTGGTAAATGAATAAAACTCTAGCCTTGGGACCTGCTTTTGAAATTGAGAGAGCTTCATCTCTGAAGACAGTGTCGTATTCCTCTTTCCAATTAATGCATCTTCTGATATTTACCTCTCATTCCCCCTGAACCATGTTCACAGAATCATAGAGCTGGAAGGGATCAATCCCCTGCAATGCAGGAATATGCAGCTGGCCTTTATGGGGATCGAACCTGCAACGTTGGCATTATCAGCACCAAGCGCTAACCAGCTGAGCTATCCAGCTGATGTTACCCTGTTCTAGGATGGAAACGTGGAGCTCAGTGGCCCTCTGAGCCCCTCTTTCCCCTCTTGTTCTAGGACCTGGAGCTCTTCCATCAGGCAGGAGGCTGGGAGGTGGTCCATGCTGTGGCTCAGTACTGGTGCAGCCGGGTGGTGTGGAACCCAGAAGACCAGAGCTACCACATCCCTGGTAAATATGCGCAAGGGGGACTCCTCCTTCACTGAAAAGACATACACCGACTTTTGCATTTCCTGTGCTGCCTCTTGAGCTGCCTGCAATCTGCTACTATTACACTTCTCATTCAGGTGCAAAGTGATTTGCGTTTGGTTTTCTGGCCTCTTTCCTTAATCCTCTGAGGGGAAACCAGACACAATTCTGGGGAAGCAGGAGAGATGGCTTTGTGTATGTCACAAGGCCCAACCTGTCAGCCCTCAGCCCTGCCCTTCTTCACATGTGCAAACTGGAAGAACAGGTTCCCCACCACCAACTCAATGCTGGGACGAAACAGTTTGTCCGTCTGCGTCCAAAATGCAGTGAATGTGCTTGCGCAGGAGCTTTGACCAGGACATTATACATGCCCGTCTGCATGCCCTTTCTCTAAAGCACATCTCTAGGCTCTTGGAACTATGTTTGCAGTGACTGCTAAAATCTCAGAGGGGCTATAGAAGGGAAGGACTGTAGCTCAGGGGTAGAGCGCCTGCTTGGCATGCAGAAGGTCCCAGCTCCAATCCCCAGCATCTCCAGGTAGGGCAAGGAGAGACCTTTGCTTCTGAAACCTTGGAGAGTCATTGCCAGCCGCTGTAGAGCAGACAATATAGAGCCTGCTGGAGCCACCATCTGATTCAATATAAAGCAGCTTGCCATGTTCCAGTGCTGTCTAAGTGGGGCTTAGTTATCTGCATGACTCCTTGCTGCATCCCATACCTAACAGCAGATATATGCAAAAAGCGCGAAATAGGCAAGTATATGCAGAATAGACTTAACCTGCAACATTTGTTTGGCTCCTGGAATCTGACTTTTCTTGACTTAGGCTCATTCTGAATTTTCAAAAAATCCAGGAAGTGCTTCCATGTTCTGCCTTCTTCTAGGTGTCCTGCCCCCTGATGAATATCACTGTGCTGTAGATAACTCTGTTTATACCAATGTCATTGCCCAGAGGAGGTAAGGGACTTGCAGAATTGATGACATTTTCTCTCCATGCTCTTCCGGTTTCTGACTTTCTTCTTCTTCTTCTTCTTCTTCTTCTTCTTCTTCTTCTTCTTCTTCTTCTCCTTCATGCTTGGGTGATGGATACAGGCAAAGGAATCCATAAATTAATTGAATAATTAAAAGTTCTTTTCAAAAGGTTTGTACCACCTTTCTGCCAGATAGCAGGCTGCTTGACCATAAAATTATTAAAGGCCATAAAATTCACTACATAAGGTAGCAGAGGAATAAAAGAAGATGCAAGGGATAAAACAACAATGAAATATTTGTTATAATAAATTAATAACTCAGCAACATCTTCAAATTAGACCAAACAACACAAAACAAAATCTCTTTACAGAATCAACCATCAGTACTGATTCCTACCTCCAGTACTGATTATTGCCTAAAGGACAGCTCAGCTCTAAATGATTGATTTAGCTGCAGGAAGAAGTGGAACAACTTGGCTCCATGTTCCATTAAAAAAGCTTAACTATGGGTTAGCTCAGTGTGGCACAGCAGCAAACCAGCCGGCCACAGTCTCCTCTCACAGAGCCTGCACAGTAGTGCTCAGCCATGGTGTGATGTGTGAGCTAGGCTGACCATTTGCATTTCCTGTTTGCCCCGCCAACATTTTCCTTCACGGTTCCTTTACTCTAGGTTTTGACAGCTTGATTGATGCCTTTTAAAACATGGAGGTTGCTTCCACATTCATCCTGATTTGTTTGCGGAAAGCTCAGATGACATGGGCTATTCAATGAGCGTTCAATCAGATTAGTTTGTGGGGAGCTTACAAGACCTCGTATCAAGCGCCATTACCTCCACACTTTCCAATACATTTCCCCATGACTTTCCTTTCTGCAACAATTTCAGATTGGGGGAGGAAGTGGGCTTGTTGTGCAAGACCTCCAAGTCATCTTTAATTGTGCAACATGAATTTGCCCCCAAGTGACCAAATCTCACACAAAAATTGCAGCAGTCCAGAAGCACCCTAAAGCTTCCCACCTTGTAGCTCTCAGCCTTGCCCTGCTAGCCCAACTCTTTCTTTCCTTCTTCACTTTTTTTGTAAAGCTTTTTTTTTTTAAAACCTCTCTTTTCTTTGCTGCTTTCCAGCTTGAATTTTGCAGTTGACTTGGGGTCTCAGTTGCATATTCCAATGCCTGAAGAGTGGGAGGAAGTTCGGAAGAAAATTAAAGTGCCTTTTGATAAAAGCAGGAATTACCACCCAGAGTATGATGGGTACTGTCCAGGTGAGTCGGTTCATGACAAGGGAGAGTGTGGTGGGCCTAACCCTTTATAACAGTTGTTGTGCAGGTCAAAGTCTTCACGTCAGTGTCACTTGCCTTGCTAGTAAAATGGGTTTCTGTGTGCAAAAGTGTGGGGCACCAAAATGGGCAGAGGATAGGAGTGATTTCCCACATACCAGAGAGAACCCCCAGTGTATTTAGACCCTAGGTCCCCAACCAAACCTCAGAGTAGCAGAGTCTGAGGCAGGGAACACAGGAAGCTTTATATATATATATATACCTAGCTCAGTATTGTATATCGTGACCAGCACTGTCTCTCTAAGGTTTGAGGCAGGAGTCCCTCCCAGCCCTGCCTGGGTTTGCCAGGGATCAAACCTGTGACCTTTGCATGGCTCTGGCACTGCAGTCTCTTGTGCTCCATGCACACTGCCCTCATGCCACCACAGAACACTGGCAGCAGGGAACAGCAGAGAAGCATAAACCCTCCACTGCCAAAGTTGACATTACATTTGGCAGCAGAAGTGGAGTTTCCTGCGTTCAGAGGAGACACACCGCCTCCTGAGTCTTTCCACAATTTGGAAGATGAGGGGGAAGGAAGGGAATTGACCTTGGAAGGCACGTCTTGAAGTCCAGTTTCCTCCCTGAGGAGTCTGTTAGTCTGCACGAACACACACACTCAGCAGTTTCAAGTAGTACAAGGGGTGGGGGTAAGAGAATTCATCTTAGAGAACATGCATCCTCCCTCCCTCACACATCCTCCAAATCCAGTTTCTCCACCTTGAAGGCACTTGTGCAAGATGTCTGTCTTGCCCCCTGAGTGCCACTGGTTTGCACACACAACTATTATGAGGCAAGGTGGAGCCATTTGCCCCAAGTGACAGATCCAAACGACATCATGGCACCACAGCCAGCCCCATTGGGGCTTCCCACGCTATTGTCCTAGCTGTTGCGCCTGCTGCGCCCTCACCGCTGCATCACGGCAGCAGTGCAGGTGCAGCCGCAGGTAAGGGTACAGTTGTGTCAATGGGACTGGCAGCACAGTGGTAGAGGTAGGGTCCGGGATATGTGAGGGGGAGCTGCATCGGGGCATTTTGCCCACAGCAGCATCTCAGGCCAGCCCTGCCTATATTCTTAAGTTGAAAAGCTGTTATTATATAAAGCAATATCAAGCTGTGATGAGCCACTTACTGTGTCATAGAGAATGTATTGCTGAAGGATGGCTTTCTCACATAATCACTGTACCATGATCTCACCTTTGTAGGGTGATGACTAAAAAAATACCTGCTAGCTGTCTCCTAGGGCTGCCAGAAAAAGGTTGCTGGCAGGGCTCCTAGGCCCTTTTAATTGCTGCACAGCCAGTGCAAATGCATTGTGGGAGAGCTGCAAGCGCAGAATTTTTACCTGCTGTTCATCATACCTCCTTGTTAACAGGAAAATTACAGGCTACGTGTCACCCAAGGTAGTCTGGCAACTCTGTTTCTGGTACAATTCGCCATAAGGCACATGGGCTGGGGTCACATGTCTATCTTGCCTCTTGTTCTTTCCTCAGGTGAGCAAGTGAAACAGGCTGATGTTGTCCTGCTTGGATTCCCTGTCATGTATCCCATGGACCCAGAAGTCAGAAGGAATGACCTGGAGATGTATGAGCCAGTGACTGACCCTCAGGGGCCAGCCATGACCTGGGTAAAAAACCGTGCCTTGAAAAGGATGGAAACCTCAAACGGTTTCAGTGCGAGGTCTTCCATAGGTTTGCTGCTGAAATGAATTTATCTGAATGAGGCTGCGGTGGCCCTCACTGGTAACGACGTTGGTTCCTTTTCTCCATCAGAGCATGTTTGCTATTGGCTGGTTGGAGCTGAAGGAGACCGTAAGAGCCCAGCAGCAGCTGAGCAAATGTTTCAGCAACATCACTGAGCCATTCAAGGTCAGGCAGGTCAATCCTTCCCAACCCCCCTCTTAAAATCTGATCCCTGTAGGTACCCTTTCCACACAACATCCTTGAAAAAAATATTTTTCCCTGACTCTTTCAGATCTGGGTGGAGAACCCTGATGGATCAGGAGCTGTGAACTTCCTTACAGGGATGAGTGGATTTCTGCAGGCTATCGTTTATGGATACACTGGATTCAGGTACAAGCTGTATTAACAATAATTTTAATGTGCACAGAGGCGTAGCTAGGGGACGGGGGGAGAAGGGGACACTGGGCGCCACACCGTGGTGGGTGGCACTTACTGCGCCTGAGCCACATGTCTCCCATGGGAGTGACGCAGTGGCTTGAGCGCCTGCAGGTTCCACACTGCCTGCCACCTCCCACGCAGCTGCGCTACAGCTGAGGGGGAGGCGATGGGCAGACTCCTGGCAGGCTCTGTGGTGCTCAAAAAAGCAACATGGGCCTGCAGGGCGCCAGAGCGGAATGGGGCTCGGCCAGTGGGACTCTGGCGTGCCCTGCTCACCCCCCATGCATGCCGCACTGGGCACCCAAGCAGCTAGCTATGATGCTGAATGTACACGATCCTGAAGTCCATTGGAATAAAAAGGATGGCAGCTCCTATCAAAAAGGTGCTCGCTACATCAGGAAACTGAATCACATCTGAGCTGCAGGTTCCACCTGTTGTCTCTGTAATGACTTGTTGGAGTCAGGAAAGATGAATCCCCATCCCTCCTTGTCCCTGCCACCCTGCTGCATGACTGAAAGACTGGGGAGTGATTGCAACTTGACAAAGAGCTTCAAATAGGGATGGGGGGTAGTTTTAAATGGTTACTCTTGCCGGATTGGTCCGTGGCGAGTCACTCTCTGGCCTGCCCCAATAAAGCCTGTATACCCCCTGGCTCTGAGATTGAAGTAATCCAGTTTCCTCCTGATTTGTCCCCAATGTGATCTTCATACTGAGGAAATAATTGTGGGTGCATCACCCAAATTTCAGGGCAACACAAGCAAACAGTTCCAGTGGAGAGATGTTATTAGAAGGAAGGGCTTTTATCTCTGGACTAGTGTGATTTAAGTTTGGCTGCCCTAAGGTGGGAGGAATAGCAGAGGCGTTCTTGCTCTGTTTTTTGTTTTTTCCTAGTGAGATGGTTTATTTGCAATCAACATGTGTGGGAAACTTAGTTGCAGCCACAAAGCTTGTCCTAACAAAGTTTGAGTCAATACTGAAGTGGGACAGAGCCTCTCGGCACTCAGATAAAAATAACCACAAAGCTGCCTCTAGGTTAAGGAAGAACAGGAAATGGCTGAAGTACTCAAATCAGGTCCGGTTTTGAGAGTCCTGAGGAAGTGGGGAAATGCCCTCCTGAGGGTGTTTCTTGGTCTGTCCTCAGGTGCCTTCAGCTATGCCTGGGAGCCTCAGTGCTTTTGCATAATCAGCATTGTGTTGATAAAGTATATATAGATTTCTACTTATATTGATTTGTCACAGTTAGAATGCCGGTATTAAAAAGGCAGAAGGCAGTTGTCAAAATGAAGATTAATATTTATAGAAGCAAAATCAACAGAAGGAGACGTGGGGGGGGGGATTAATCTCTGTGGTAGCTTTGCTGGGGCACCGCCAGATGGTTCCCAGGTGGGTTCTAATTGCCACAGTCCATCTTTGATGGCTGCTTCTGATCTCTGCCAGCCCACACAACTGGCAGGAACCATCCTAAGCTGTCCAGTCCATTGTGAATGTGGGGTGTGGAAAGTGAGAGGGAAAAGAAGTAGGGTGCCTTCTTGACTTTCCAACAGGAAGTCTTCCTGTACTTCCTTTAGGATCACCAAGAAGCACCTGAAGTTTGACCCCATCTGTCCAGATGACATAAAGAAACTAAAGATCACCGGCGTGTGCTACTTAGGAAGCAAGCTGGATTTCACCCTTACCAAAGAAGATGTCACCATCCGAGTGACACAGGCCTCCCCTGTCCTACAGCCACCTGGTCTGGAGGCTGTGCTGGCAGGAACGGGCGAGCATCTTCCCTTAAATGAAGGTACAGCATCATCTCCTACAGCTGTGTTATCAAGGTTTCCTGTTGCTGACAGGGAGATCCCCTCCCACTTAGCTGAATGTTTTAACAAATTGAGCTATATTCTTGGGTTGGTACTGAACTACAGTAGACCCATTGAAATTAATGGGCCTGGTGTAGTCATGTTCCTTTGTTTCAGTGGGCCTACTCTGAGGAAAACCTAGTTGAACACCACCCTTGGTATATAGCAAAGATGGCGAGGAAAGGGTTCACCACCTTGGTGGTGGTGGTGGTTTTAAGAAATGCCTCCTGTCCAAGCTGCAACCAACCTGTTGGATCCACTTCCCTAAATATTTACGCCCTAAGACGAGCTAAATATAGGTGGAATAAGTTGTTACCTCAGGAGACCTGTTGATCCTCTGCAGCATCTATATAGAAGGCTAAAAAGATGATGATACTAGAAGAGTTGTTTGTTTGGATGGCCACCTTTACAGCTTGTGTGCTTTCTGTTCTATTTCAGGACAGAGTATCTCCTTCCCTGCAGCCGCTGGCTGGATCCAGAAGGTTGAGACAATTTAAAGCCAGCTTGTTTTGATTCTATGACAAGTATGAAAAAACTACCAGGCCTTTGCAAGCGTAGCAGCCAGCCAGTAGTATCTTAGAGGCTTTGTGGTTCATGTTAGCATGCAGCAATACTAAAGAGCCTGAATCTTGAGTTCTTGACTGCATTCATTGTGTATATAACCAACCTGCTGAAGTGGGAGCTGAAACTCCCACCCACCCACCACCACTGACTACCTTAGAGATGTAGCTTCCTTCCTGGACAGAAAGGTTCTGCAATGGAGAGAAAAGGAAAAGAGCTTATTTTTCATTCTTTTTTGTGGAGGGAGGGGCGAGCAGCTAGTCGGAAGAAATCCCCCAAACTTTCCTGTTAATTTGATTATTGTACATTGTGATTAGCATTGGGGGAGGGAAGGGGGAGTGTAAACCACTTACCGGTATATTCCCCCCCCCTATAATTTTTATTAAATTTTCTGTTTTACTTTAAGGTTGTTTAAATGAATATTCTAAAATGTATCAATGACGCCCCTCCTTCTCTTTCCATGGTTCATTTTGCATAACATAAAGGGACCCCTGACCATTAGGTCCAGTCGTGACCGACTCTGGGGTTGCGGTGCTCATCTCGCTTTATTGGCCAAGGGAGCCGGCGTTTGTCCGCAGACAGCTTCCGGGTCATGTGGCCAGCCTGACTAAGCTGCTTCTGGCGAACCAGAGCAGCACACAGAAACGCCGTTTACCTTCCCGCCGGAGTGGTACCTATTTATCTACTTGCACTTTGACGTGCTTTCGAACTGCTAGGTTGGCAGGAGCAGGAACCGAGCAACAGGAGCTCACTCCATCATGGGGATTCAAACTGCCGACCTTCTGATCGGCAAGTCCTAGGCTCTGTGGTTTAACCCACAGCACCACCCGCATCCTTGCATAACATAAATCCCTGCATATTTTACATAAACTAAACCATTATTACATCTATCAAAACTTATTTACACTGTTGAATTTATCTTAATGCTGCCCGCGTTTTCAAGTGTACACAATTTCCCCCCATATATGGGGGAGTGTAAACCACTTTTAGAATTTTTTGACAGTCAAGTGGTATATACATTTTATGAAATAAATAAATAAAACTGCGAGTCAGTAGTAGTCTTTCTTGGGACCAGAACTGAACCCCTCGACGCTGGCATTTTCAAGGATTTCTTCCTACCTCCTCCTCTGACAGTTCCAAAGGTTCTTCAGCAGGTTTCCCAGATGGAAACTTGCAAGGTGTGCAGAAGACCTTGCTACCTTTACAGACTTGGGATGGATGCTGAAACAGCAAGCATTTCCAAGGGCTTGTCTTTGAGAGGCTAATATGCTAAGCGTTACTTATACAAAAAGCAAGCTGCATATGCTGGCAGCAATAGTCCAATTAACTCTGTTTAGAAGCCTCTTTCCAGTTCTCATCCATCTCTCAGATAAGGGAATAACTGACCTACCATGAATAACAGCCTCCCCTCTCCCAACTCGCTAAATCAAAACTAAGGCTTCAAAGTAAGCAGAGAAGCATATATGATCTCATTTTACAGCTTGCACCAATTAGCCCCAGGGTTATCTTGATGACCAAAAAGGCATTTACACGCGTTCCAGGGCATTTTCACCGTTTGGTTAGTCAGCGGTTAAGAGAAGTCTCTCTTTGCATATGCTGTGAGAGCCTTATTTTCCACATCCTGTTCCTCCACCAGCTACACAAACCTTCCTCATCCTGATGTTTGGGAAGAGTAATTGTTGGGCTATGTCCTGACAATGTCAGAGCAGAGGAGGGGAGTCTGAATTTCAGGGTCAACACAGTTGCTCGCTGCAATCTTTCACCAGGATGAAGAAAACCATTCATTCCTTCCAAATAGTGGAATACTGTCTGTGACTTGCTTGGCGGTTGCAGAAACATTGCATGAACAGGAGTTGGCAAAGGGGGAGAATTATTTAAGGGAACTTTGGGGGTGTTGCTTCCTCCCACTTTTAGCCTTTGAAAGTAAACAAAGCAACCACACGATGGCACCAAAACCACTGATTCAGGGAAGGGAAGGCCCGAAAGGAGCATCTGAAGAGGAAATGGTCTGTGCATGGCACTGTCATCTGTTTACCCTGACCTGGGTTGTGTAAATGCCAGGGGTTAGGAATGCCAGTGGGGAAATGAAGAGAACATTCCCTTTTTAAATTTCCAAAGGCAGCAGGGGACAAGAAGCATCCACAGTTTCTTTTCCTAGCCCTGCTGGGTCAGGCATCCCTTGCCTGCCTGCCCGCCTGCTGTGCAGCATACGTACTGCTTGTTACAACAGGTGGAGAGGAAGAAAGAGTGGATGGAGGCCATGGAGCAAAATGCTATGTAGAATATAGCATTTTGTTAAGGTTATTTTTGCAGTGGTTTACATGAAAAAGAGCCAAAAAAAATTATAAAATATAATAGACAAAAAATACTAAAACAGAACAAAACCGCTAGCAAAATAAGATCCAGGTTTAAAACCAAAAAAGGGATAGTATGGGAAACAGCCTTATTAGAAAAATTAACAAATAAACTGAAACTGACACAGGGACAAATGGAAGAAGACGCTTTCACCCTGGTATGACTCCCCTTTATCACATACACAGCCCAACAGGACAACGACAAGAATCCACCAACAGCATATGACTCAGTATGGCTAACCTAATTAAAAAATACCCACCCACCCCACTCACACATGAAAACGAAGTTCACCATAGCCAATCACAAACAAACAACCACACCCTAGGCCAACCCCAATCTCTCTCACCACCAAAGAAACACAAGCGAATAGGAAAGAGAACCCGCACAACCGACGCTGACATAAAACCCCACACATACGGTACATTAAGGAGAATAGAAGCGTTGCCATCCGACCCAACCCCATTCACCATGCCCCCCTCCACCTCTTCCCCCCTTTTTCTTCCTAATGTAACACTAATGTCTCAACAAATGAAATGGATCTGTAGAAAATGTAACTTGAAAAAAGAGACATTGCACATACTTTTGTAAACCAAGAAATCTTTAATAAAAAATACGTTTAAAAAAAACACCAAAAAAGGGAGAGGAACAGCAGTACAGAAGCTCTTTAAAGAAGGTAAGATTAAAAATTAAAAGATCATCTGGGACAGGAAAGACTGCAATCCCAGTGCCAGGCAAACCTGTCTGAAGAAGGCATCCTACAGCCACAGAGGCTTTCTCTGATAGCCACCTGCCAAACTTTGGTTGACACTGTACTGGCTGCAAAGCTTTCTATGATATTTCCCTCATCTCAGCCTCCACTCTTGTGTTGGGGGAATTTTGGGGTTCAAGCCCAGCCAGTTGAATCCAGATACCAATTGGCTGTGGGAGTTGCCAGAAGGAGATGTACAAGATGCCATACAGCCGTCTTAGGGACTCCATTCTGGATTTGTGCAGAGTTTACTCCTTGGTCATTTCTTTTCCCGAAGATATCCCACAAAGCAGTGGAGGTTTAGGATCAGAGTTTTCTTTTTCCTAGATGGGCTGCCTTCTCAGGTTGACAAGCCCCACCAGCATGTGCAAAAACTGCCTTCTTGACCACTGGACCCACTATTGGTCTCAGTTCACTGGAGCCCATCTTTGCAGGCAGGGGAAATCCCTAACTCTCTGAGCGTTTGAGACCCATTGATTACCCTCACCTGGTTTAGCCGGCTAGTCGAAGCAGTTCCTGGGGTGTGGCTGCTGTCGCATGCTGACAGCTTCTAGGAGTCACAGGAGAGAGTGGAGTGCAGGATGGGGACCAAAAGGTGGACAAACTACCCCACAAGGAGCACAACGTGTCCCTCCCAAGAGTTACTACTCCTTAAAGCCCTATATACCCTACAAAAGATTACACACACGGCAAAAGTGGGAGTTTTCCATACGCAGCCTTGTGACAGCAAGGTTGTAAAACAGAATCTTCAAGAATGTAAAACAAGATCTTCTGTTCTTCGTCTTTTCCGCTCCCTCCTGTTTATTCAACAGACTTCCTTAGCACGCAATCCTTGAGATGACAGCTGGAGCCTCAGTGTTCCTTGTCAAGGATCCCAGTCCTTGCCTTATTCACACACAGGCTATACATTCCAGACTCTCTTCTCTCACAGACTTTGCGTTTCAGCTTGACCCTGGGGCTGTTGGTCCCTCCTTCCTTGCTAGTAAAACCACACCTACACACACACACACACACACACACACTTTCTCATTTTTAATTCCTTTATCATTTTGTTCTTCCACACTGGGAAGAATAGCTGTCTGGGAGATTTGGACAGCAAACCAAATGCTTCAAGCCAGGCATAGGCAAACTCGGCCCTCCAGATGTTTTGGGACTACAGCTCCCATCATCCCTAGCTAACAGGACCAGCGGTTAGGGATGATGGAAATTGTAGTCCCAAAACATCTGGAGGCCGAGTTTGCCTATGCCTGCTTCAAGCTGTAGTTACTTTCTCATAGTCATATGTGCCCTGAACAGCCAGTGAGTTAAGGCGAGAGCTGCCAGGCAACTTCGTTTTCCAGGCACTCAGGGCTGACAAAAAAACAACCCCAAGCATCATTTGAGGAACAACGGGCTGGGACAGTAGCTCAGAAGCAGAGCAGGTGCTTTGCTGCTGCGAGCCACTGCTGTGAGCCACTGCCAGTCAGTGTAGACAACACTGAGCTGGATGGACAACTATTCTGAACGGGTATATCTCAGCTTCCTATGTCGTAACTATACAAACTGAAGTCGTGCTTTTCTTCTGAGATAATACAAGCCTTGGGATCAGAGCCGTCTTTCCCATTGGTCTTAGTGGTTCATCACGCCAGAGCGCCGGCCTCTCAGGGGCACCCCAGCGAGTGGGGGAGCTGTGCGGCTTTGCCGGCGGCCTCCCCTTTCCCTACATGCCCGCCAGCTGCACCCCACTAACTATATGGCTGGCGGGCATGCAGCTTCCTTCCCAAGCTTCTGCATCTGCTAAAGACAGCCCTGCTCCCAGTCGTTGTCCTCCTCCTGCTTCCTGGCGATAGGAGGCGTGCAGCCTTCCCGGGCTGCCTTCTTGGGTGCCCCGACACCAGAGAGCATGTCTGCCAGCATGTTTTCCTGCTTGATCGCCGCCAACACGCCAGGGATCAGGGCTGTGGGGGAGGCAGAGGACATTTTCCACCGCCCCCCTCCTGTGGTCTAAACCACGGAGCCTCTTGGGCTTGCCGACTGGAAGGTCAGCGGTTCAAATCCCCGTGACAGGGTGAGCTCCCTAACCCTAACCCTGTCAGTAGATATTTTTTTCTATTAGATGCAAGGATTTCACATTTTGAGGAAAGTGAGGAGAAGGAACAGGGAGAATGCAGGAGAAGCAGCACGAAAGGCTGCGATCTTACACCTGCTTACTTGGGAGTAAGTCCAGTGGTTCCACCCCTTAAAAAAGTTTGACAACTCTGGGAGACAGGGGGACGGGATGGGTGGAGGGATCTTTGCACCACGGCGCT